CCCTCTCCTCCCTCTCCTCCCTCTCCTCCCTCTCCTCCCTCTCCTCCCTCTCCTCCCTCTCCTCCCTCTCCTCCCTCTCCTCCCTCTCCTCCCTCCCCCCATCTATCTTCTCCCTCACCTGATCCCCCTGCTTCTCTTCCCCTTCCCCGTCCCCAACATCCGCCAAAGGATCGCCCGATTTTCAAGGATTTGTTTCTCCTAGACCTTCCTCCTTGCCCTGTGGTAACCACCCTTCCTCCTTGCCCTGTGGTAACCACCCTTCCTCCTTGCCCTCTCTCCCCTCTCTCCACTCTCTCCCTCTCCTCCCGTCCCCAACATCAGCAAAGGATCGCCCCCTTTTGAAGGATAGCTTGCGACGAGGGCTGGTCATGGCCATGGTATGGTGTGGTGGGGTGGGGTGGGGTGCGGTGAGGTGGGGTGGTGGAGTGGGGTGGGGTGGGTTGGGGTGGGGAGGGGGGTGTGCTGTGCTGTGCTGTGCGGTGCTGTGCGGTGTTGTTGTGGTATGGTATGGCATGATGGTGGTATGCCATGCTGATGATGTGCCATGGCGATGGTAGTATGACTATGGCATGGGATGGTGTGGCATAGCTATCGAGGTGACTTTTGAGTTGACTCAAAAGTGGCGATGGTAGTATGACTACGGCATGGGATGGTGTGGCATAGCCATCATATGGCATGCCGTTTATGGTGTAATGTTTCACCACACCACACCACACCACAGCACTCCACACCACACCACACCATAAACGGATAGGTGCGTTTAATGCCACATGGTTGTTACCATATGTTTCACCACCTCTCTTTCAGCATCGGCATCCTCTCTCAATCCAATCCACCTCATCCCACCCCACCCCACCCCACCCATTCGCTTCCGCCCCCTCCCCTCTCCCCGCACAGGCCGTGACTCTCCCCATGACAGCTGTCATGCTCCCATTGGCCCGTCCCATCGTGCGCATTGTCTTTCAGCGTCGTTCCTTTGATGCCTCAGCGACCAATCTCGTCTCCTCACTCCTCTCGTGCTGTCAGTACTGCTCTCCTAGCCTGTCTTGTCTCTGTTTACATTCTCTTAGTACTTCTCTTTTCTTTTTTTTTTCGAATTGTCTTCTACCATCGCTCCTTTGATGTCTCCGCGACCAACCTCGTCTCCTCACTCACCTCGTCTCCTCACTCCTCTCATGATGTCAGTATATCCATCTTGTCTCCTTTCAGTTGACTTACTGTCAACACTTCTCGTTTTTTGCTTTAAGCCCGGAATGTATCTGCTCGCGGAGAATATATCAGAAAATATGTCATTTCTGTTTACTCTCTCTCTTACTGCTTCTCATCTTTCAGTTACTAGCAATGCCGATACCCTTCCACCCCTTGACGCCTATCTCCCCCTCTTTTTCCCTCTCCCCCAGACCTCCTGGGCTCCCCCTGCTACTTGGCTCGGGAAGTGCGTCTCTGCCACTCCCTCTCTGACGGCTCGCGCTGCCTCAAGAAACTGTTCACTTACTTTTCCCCTCAGTTTTTTTAGAATTCTCAAAAATCATCACTTACTTTCCCCTCTGATTTTCCCTCCATTAACCCCCCAGACCTCCTCGGCTCCCCCTGCTACCTGGCCCGTGATGTCCTCGTTCGTCTCTTCTACTCCCTCGCTGACGGCACCACGCCCTTCCTTATAAGCACATTCGCTATAGCGGCCAACGCGGTTCTGGATTTTCTCTTCGTGAGCCGCTGGGAGTTTGGCCCACAGGGTCTTGTGCTTGCTACAGCCGCTGTGAACACTGCTTCGGCTGTAGCGCTGCTGTGGCTGGCGCACAGGAGAATGGGAGGTGAGTGGAAGGCTGACTGCTTTGGTTCCCCCTATGGACTTGTGCTGGCTTAGGGCGTTCTCTCTCTCTCATCCACTTACCGTCAACCACTGTCACCTGCTGCTGCTGCTCTCTCCTCACCCCTCTCCCTCCCTTCTCTTCCCCTCACCCTGCAGGCCTCCCTCTCTCTCTTCTGGTGGCCCTCATTCTCCATCCTCTTCCAATCAGCCGCTGCTACAGCCATCACTACCACTGCTACCACTATCCCTGCAAACAAACTCACCAACTCCTATCCCCCATTGCACGTCTCCCCCGCATTTCTTCTCATCCCTCTGCAGGCCTCCCTCTCTCGCTCTGGTGGCCCTCCTTCTCCATCCTTTTCCAATCAGCCGCTGCTACAGCCATCACAGTCACAGCCACACATAACTCCTCTCTGCCGCGCTTACAGCCGCCTCTCACTCTCTCTCCTTGCGTCCCACTTGGGTGTGGTTACTAGACGCAGCAGCACTAGGCACGACAGCTGCTGCGGGTTTTCTTGTCTTCTGTGCCCTTGTGGTTACCATGCGGTTACCAGAGGCCATGCCGTGGGCTCGAGTGAAATCACTTATGCAGAAGTATGGGTTGCTGAAGCTACCGGTAAGAACTAGCGCTCAGTATTGATTTGTGTGAAGTAGTGTTTAATGTGCACAGTACGAGCCAAGTGGTGATAACGATTCTACAAGTGCTGCAATATTACATACATGCTAGACTATGTCTCCCAATGTATGTGCTTTTGTAACGCCAGGTTGATAGGGCCAACAAATGCGCTTGTTATGCATTTTCCACTTGATTTTTTCCAATGGTCGACGTTGAAAACTGAGGTTGAGTACCTAAGTTTCGTTCCCAAAAGTCCATAGCAGCTCCACCACCATTTAGCACATACGGTAGTAAGCACAAAAAGTTTGTATTCTTATAGCCTATAGCTTCTTGTAATAGTAGCGTAGCGGTTTCGCGATTCTTCCACATTGTCCTTTCCCATCAAATCTACGCTTGCTAAATTTGAGGGGGAAAATATGTCAATGGTAACTTACATGGGGCACTGTAACGCGTACGGTAACGATTTCAACGCAATTGGTAACTCGCTTAACGCGTTTGGTAACTCGCTTAACATGTTTGGTCACTCGCTTAACACGTTTGGTAACTCTACACTAGCAGCCCATCACGCGAATGGTAACTAGATGAAGTTCCCGCCGAAATGAGCCTGAAAAAAAAAGGAATTTATGAATTTGAAAGCTTTTACGCACAGTACGGTACTATCCTTTTGAACAAGTCTCGCTGCGAATTTGAAAGATCCCGTTTGTTCTAATACCACGGACCACAAAGTTTCAGGGCCATTTTATTCATATATGTAGCTCGTACAAAAATGGTAAATTTCTAAAATTTCTATAGCATGATTGCGAACTTGCAAAACGATTTAAAAAAGATTCCAAAAGGACCTCAGAAATTTTACTGTTATAATTAATGCAACGTTGGAGACTTTTTGCATGTGGGAAAAATACTCATCTTGAAAATTACATGTTTCTTAATTTAAATAAAGAACCATAAACGCCTGGTCGCAAGAAGTTTAAGGTTGTTGCTCTCAAATTTATCTGCCATTTGAAAGGGGTATAGATTTGTTTGCCCCAGCTGCACGATAGAAAAAGTACAAACAGTTCGCGGAAGGAGCACCAGAATATCAACTATGTATAAACAATTGTTTTCACAGCACTTACGTTTTTGCAATTAGCTTGAAAATCGGAAAGTGTGTCAGGATTTCGGAGAGTCTGTCAGATTTCGGAAACGTGTCAGAATTTCAGAGAGTGTGTCAGAGGTTTCTGCTTCAGGATTCGTCAATTTATTCTGACGCGAGCGGGAAAAACCAGAATCAGGCTCAATTTCGGCGGGAATTTCATGTAGTTACCATTCGCGTGATGGGCTGCTAGTGTAGAGTTACCAAATGTGTTAAGCGAGTGACCAAACGTGTTAAGCGAGTTACCAAACGCGTTAAGCGAGTTACCAAACGCGTTGAAATCGTTACCGTACGCGTTACAGTGCCCCATGTAAGTTACCATTGACATATTTCCCAATTTGAGGTTTCGAAACCATCGAACGGAAGGTCCTTTTCAACATCGCGGCTCGAAAATAAAAAGGACTTCGCGACGCGGCGTTGTCCCTCAGGCACGAAGACGCGCACACATTTGATTTTGAGCGGCGTTGTGGCGCGAAGGTATGAAATGAAGCTCTGCCCCTCAATCCCAACCACTGGCTTCCTCCCTCCCTCAAGCCTCTTTCGTACCGACCCCACTCGACTCCATTCCCAATCGAGTCACACCATTGGGACTGTACACGGCTGTCGTGAGGAAGAAAATCGCAAGCCTCACATTGGCCCCCCACGTTTCAGCAACAGCAGCACCACAATCACAGGCCCTTGTGACTCCATCCTGAAAAAACGGATTGTGAGTGACAACGGACGGTCTCTCCCCTCTTGGTCGATCCGGCCCACAGGTAACCGCAATCCGTTCCATACCAATTCCAACAGCACAGGCTCAACAACAACGGCATCTCAGTCAAGTGACGACGCTGGCCGCCATTCGTCGTTACTGTAATTAGGGGTCTTTGTACGGTCCCTCGTTTCTCTCCTGCCGGTGGCAGATCCAGCTGGCGGGTCGTATCTTCTTTGCGGATTCTAACGCGCAAGAAGACTCTTTCCTTTTCGTCCTTGTTTGAAGAGACGAGTTAATGATTACGTACAGCCCTGCCACGCGTGGTGCTGCGCGCAGCGCGCGCACTAATCTCTCCCTCAGTAGTGGTTCTTGCAGCAAGACCACACGCCAAGCTAGCGCAGTCACGTGTAGTGTAATACGCGGGGCAACGCTCCTCCATAAGTGCAGCATGACGCGAACCATTTCTCATTTGCTTCGTTTTACCAATCAGTTCTCGCTCTTAACTAGTTTCGTCACCGTTGCCATCACGCGTGGCGTCACGTCTTGCGCTGCTGCGTAACCATCACTATCAGCAGCGTCGCCGCGTCTTAGAAGCTTCCAATAGCTGTGCTGTGCTCTTCGGGGACTTTGTTTTGTGAGTCGTCAACGCGCCGCGCGCCATCATCATGTTGACCGATGCTGATCCCGCAATTGTCGTGCTTCCAGACGGCACGATCCGTCTAATCACGCCGCCTCTCGCGGCGGAAACGGAAGATTTGCCGCCGCCGCAGCCGCCGGCCGACTACCGCGCTGCGGGAAGGAGAGACGGGCTCAGGTTGAGCGTCCCGCCAAATCCGCATGCGGGGACGCGGTGTCGGGAGTCGGCGGAAGCGGACTCTGAAGACGAGTGCGCGCATTCTGACTGGGCGCAAACCTATCCCCGCTGCGCGTCGCTGCAGTCTCCGCGGACTCTCAGCATCTTGACCGCGGCGGACGTTCTCCGCGAGTTCCCCCGCCACTACCTCGCGCTCTCCCTCGCCGCCCCTCCGCCGGGGAGTCTCCCCAACCGCGGAGTCTCCGCAGACATCTCCCGCGACGAGCACATTCCGCTTCCCGCCTGGCGCCCGCTGGTCCCCGGCGCGACCTACCAGGTCGTTCCGCACACGTTGCGCCAAGCGGGGCAAGGCTGCTCGTCGCGCTCGCTGCTGCGCACGTTCGCGTCGTGCCCCGAAAGATTTGATTCCGCGAATCACGGCGACGCGAGCAGCAGAGGGATCGTTTCCGTTGCCGAAAATAAGCCAGTTTCTAGGAGAAGTGCGTCAAGTAATGGCACTCCGGCACCAGAGGGATGTCCGACATCCAGCGATGGTTACGGCGACGTTCGCACTCAATCCCCCGGAAGTACCCACCCCCCCAGCCGTACGCGTTGCAAGCTCCATATTGACAACCCTCCTCGCAACTGGTCGCAAGGCAACACAATAAGCCGTTCCGTGAGCTATTCCGGTCCGCGCGCGACGGACGAAACACCACGATCCTACACAACGTGCGATTCCCCTTCGGGATTACAAGAGAGGGGAACCCCAGTAGTACCAGCAGCCGTTGGCGTGAACAACAGAGTTGGTTCGCGCACCACAGGCGATGCACCATCCCCGTTATTATTGGCGTCCTCTTCATTGTCATTCCCGCCCTCTACACCTACTGGTTCTGGTTCTAAAAGGCTATTACGGAAAGTGAAACTTTCGGCGTTATGCAAGTGGTTTTACAGAAGCAGCTGTAGCAGCAACGACGGCAAGGGTGACTGTTGTGAAGTGAGGGAAAACAACGTTCTTGAGTGGGATGAGGGCTCAAATGTTGTGAACTTCGCTTCTGAGTCGGCTCTAAACGGGTACAGCTGCAGCTGCTGCTGCAACGTCATCAGCACCAGCAGCAACACTGCCAGCACCATCAGCAGAAGCAGCACAGGCAGCAGCATCAACACCAACACCCCCAGGAGCACCAGCGTCAGCAGCACCACGCCCAGAGGTCACCTTGGGAATGTCGCGAGGCACGAAAGAAGGAATATTGAAATGCGCGCGCGGCCTGGTTGTTGCTCTGGGATTATGAGGTCTCGAGCCTTGTTACGGAGGAACCATTTTCTCGTATTGAGCTTTGCTGTTCTGCGGATGCTTGTATGGAGGATATGCGCCGTGCAGAAATGATGCTGGAGCTTGCTTTGAAGAGGACTTAGGACTATGAGGTGTAGACAAACCCTGCTTACATCTTCAATCAGCTATTGCTGCAAGGGAATGCAGTGTGGCGCGACACTCAATGCAGAAGCTGCTGATTTAATGAAGGGGGTTGGTGGTGGAAGTGGTTGGGGGGGAGAGAGGGATGGTGGGACGGAGGGATAGGTAATTAAAATGATAAATTCTCTCTGCCATTGGTGTAGATTTGAGTCAGAATTAGAAACTGTGGCTTGTAACTACTGCCTTTTGAACTCCTGTGTGTTGATCCAGTTTCATTCTGATTACCTACTGAACAGTACATCCAGGAGATAAGGGGTGGATTGTGAAGGCAAGGAGTGGGTGGGAGTGAAAGAAAATAAAGAATAATGTCCCCAAAAAGCTAAAGAAGCCGTTTGTTAGCACCGTAACGTATTTGTGTGATCCACACATTGCAGGAGGAGCAGTCCATCACCCCAAAAACAGTCCAGGGTAACCACCAGTGAAAGCAAAGAAACTCTGCACCGCATCACACCGCCTTGAAGCTGACAGGCTGTGATTGGCCTATGGTTTGGATAGTTGCCTTTCCACCACAAATATATTTCCCTTGTCGTCCCGCCCAATCCGCACAGTGTCGTCCACGTAACTGCGTGACAATAAAGGGGTTGCACCAAAGGTAAGCGAGAGAGAAATACGCACGGCATTAAACTGATGTATGGTGACAGAAAAGCATGCAAGATACTTCAATTGATGTATGATGCAATGCAAGGGGCATCCATGAGCGCACATACATGTCACACATGCAGCTGTGCGGACAAAGGAGAAAAAGAAATGGACACATTACACACAACCACTCTAAATCAACCAACCAACACATGTACTGGTACTACTATAAAGACTCTCATTGTCTCAGGCATCAAGAGAAAATTTACACACCTTTACATATGCGTGTAAGAATGCATGCACCGCAGACTAGATCACCAGAAACACTCACGTTATCTCAAGCCAACCATCCGGGTTGAATATTCGCAGAAGCAGGTCGTAGTTCTTCTCAAATAGCTTGTTCAGCTGTCAAACAATAGGGGTGTGGGAGGGCGGAACAGGGGAGTGCATTCTTTCAGTCAACAAGAACATCATCAGAAGCAGGTCATAGTTCTTCTCAAATAGCTTGTCCAGCTGTCATATGGTGGACGGGGGGGAGAGGACGGGGGAATAGGAGGGGAAAGAGGTGAAGAAATATCATGTTCGGATCAACAGAAATATCCTCAGAAGCAGGTGGTAGTTCTTCTCAAAAAGCTTGTTCAGCTGTCAAATGGTTGGGTTGGGGGGGAGGAAAGGGACAGGGAAGAGGGGGGGATAGGGAAGCAGAACAAATAAAAAGGAAAAAAAAAAAAAAAAATCGCGGAAGCAGGTCAAAGTCTTGAAGCGGGAGGAAAGGGGGGGGAGGGCGCGAGTTGGGACGAGGGAGGGTGGCCAGGGGAAAAGGACAATGCAGGAGAGAACATAGGAGTGAAGAAGGCAATGTGGTTGTGACGATTTTTGAGTCGACTCAAAATTTGACTTATCACACACGGAAGGGGAGGGGCGTGGGTTTGCGACGGGAGAGGGTGGGCAGGGGGGAAGGGACAATGCAGGATTTTTTAGAATTCTCAAAAATCACTAAAAAAGGACAATGCAGGATCTTTTAGAATTCTTAAAAATCACTCAAAAGGGACAATGCAGGATTTTTCAGAATTCTCAAAAATCACTCAAAAAGGACAATGCAGGATCTTTTAGAATTCTTAAAAATCACTCAAAAGGGACAATGCAGGAGAGAACATTGGAGTAAACAAGGCAATGTGGTTGAGACGATTTTCGAGTTGAAACAGCTAGAAGGCAATGTGGTTGCTGTGAAACAGCTAGCTAAGGTGGGGAGGAGGGAGCGATTAAGGAGAAGGTTGGCAATGACAAAAAATGGAGCTGTAAATATCCCACTTGCACGAAATTCCCAACCTGGTAAAATTTCGCCACCTGGTAAATTACCCCCGTTGGGAAAATACCCCACGTGGGAAATTACCCCACCTGGCAAGTTACCCCACTTGCACGGAAAATTCCCCCCGCTGCAGCAGAGAGCAGCAGAGGAGAAAGGAGAGAAGAGGGGAGAGGAGGGAAGAGGGGAGAGGAGAGAAGAGGGGAGAGGAGAGAAGAGGGGAGAGGAGAGGAGAGGAGAGGAGAGGAGAGGAGAGGAGAGGAGAGGAGAGGAGAGGAGAGGAGAGGAGAGGAGAGGAGAGGAGAAGAGATACCCACCTGGGAAACAAACTCACCTGGTCCGGTACGATGCTGGAGCTTTCAAATTTGATGTCCACCCGCTGGGAGTGGAGAGAGGTGAGGAGGTGAACCTTACCTGGAAAAGAAACCCACCTGGTCCGGTACGATGCTGGAGCTTTCAAATTTGGTGTCCACCCGCTGGGAGTGGAGAGAGGTGAGGAGGTGAACCTTACCTGGAAAAGAAACCCACCTGGTCCGGTACGATGCTGGAGCTCTCAAATTTGATGTCAACACGCTGCAGCAGAGAGGAGAGAGGAGAGACGGGAGCAGACCAAAATCCACCAGGGAACAAAACCTTACCTGGAAAAGAAACCCACCTGGGAACAAAACCTTACCTGGAAAAGAAACCCACCTGGGAACAAAACCTTACCTGGAAAAGAAACCCACCTGCTCCGGTACGATGCTGGAGCTCTCAAATTTGATGTCCACCCGCTGCAGTGGAGAGAGGTGAGGAGAGAGGGGAGAGGAGAGAGGGGAGAGAAGAGAGGAGGGAGGAGCGGAGAGAGGAGAGACAAGAGCGAGCAAAGACAAAGTTAGGGGGCAGGGTTTTCACGGGGAAACGAGGGCAGAAGGAAGGAGGGAAAGAGCTAAGAGTTTTTGTCACAGCAATAAGACCAATCAGATCAATCAAATAATAGTTCGGAAATTGATAAACCCATATGACATCGTATAATGCTCTCACAGTAGGGGAGGCGATGGTGTACGTTGCTTCGATGGTGAGCTTCCCTGAGAGCGATGGGATCATTGCCCAAACCTTGACTAAACCGAGTGACACATCATACAAGGCATGGTACATGGTGCTCACAGTAGGGGAGGCGATGGTGTACGTTGCTTCGATGGTGAGCTTCCCTGACAACAGTCCCAACCCCCTCACTGAGAACTCCACCACGTTGGCTGCTCGCCTCTGGGGGGTGGGAGAAGGGGGAGATTGGGAGAGGCGGTAGGGGAAGGAGGTTTGTGTGGGGAGCACCCCTTGAGGCCCCTCACTGCGAACTCCACCACGTTGGCTGCTCGCCGCTGGGGGGGAAGAAATGCATGGGGGGGATGGGGGAGAGGGGCATAAATGGGGAGAGCAGGAGGAGGAGATGAGGGGGGAACGGGGTAAGGGGCTTCGATGGTGAGCTTCCCGGACAGCAGCCCCTGACTCACCGTGTCCTTGTCCACAATCGGGAGAAAACCTCCCAGAGAGATGAAGTTTTTTTTTTAGGCGCCTCAAAAGCAATCTGGAACAAATCCCCCAGAGAGATGAACAAATCCCCCAGAGAGGTGAACAAATCCCCCAGAGAGATGAACAAATCCCCCAGAGAGATGAACAAATCCCCCAGAGAGATGAACAAATCCCCCAGAGAGATGAACAAATCCCCCAGAGAGATGAACCCCCTGAGGCCCAGCTTGGTTCATCGTCCTTCAGTCAGCACGGGAGACAGATCTTACCGTATCCTTGTCCACAATCTGAAGGAAGTCGCCCAAAGAAATGAAGTCCCTCAGGCCCAGCTTGGTGCGCTTGGAGCCGAGAATGGCGATGGTGCTGTAGAGCAGCCTCCACTCGCCTGTGATCTACAGGGGGACGGGGACATAGGGAAGGGAGAAGTGGGAGGAGTGGCCACTCTCCTGTGATCTGATTGTTGGGGAAGCGGAGGTGGAGGGAAGGTGAGAAGGAGAGAGGTGGCCGCTGCAAGGGCTCCTGTGTTGCTTGAAGCCGAGGGTGGAGGCAATGCTGTAGAGCAGCACCTTACCCCACCCCACCCCACCCCACCCCACCATATCTCGCCCCATGTCCAACCTCACTTCACTTCTTCTCGAAATTCTATCATGCAGCTTTGCTTGCTCACATGTTGAACGATCCGCCTTCCTTAGACTCATGCTCATGCTCATGCTCATATGCTCATGCTCATATGCTCATGCTCATGCTCTGTACCCCTCCCTGTCACTGCTGTTCGAACGAATTTCGGTCCTCACCCGATTCCCACCGCCCTGTTGAACCTTAAGAGCATGATTTATGCTCATGCTCATGCTCATGCTCATGCTCATGCTCATGCTCATGCTCATGCTCACGCCACATGCTGCCCTTACATCAGTAATTTGTTCTCCAAATTCTCTTGCCTGCCCCGATCTCGCCTGCCCCGATCTCGCCTGCTCTTATCTTCTCGCCTGCTCTGATCTCGCCTGCTCTGATCTCCTCGCCTGCTCTGATCTCGCCTGCTCTGATCTCCTCGCCTGCTCCATTCTCGCCTGCTCCATTCTCGCCTTTCCCACTGATTTCCAAAAGCAGTCAACAACTGACTCTCTCGCATTTTAATCCAAGGCTATTGGCACAGCACTTGTGTGTTTGTTTTGAGTTGACTCAAAACACACCAAGGCTATAGGCACAGCACTTGAGTTGATTTTTTAGGCGCCTCAAAAATCGACTCTCTAGCATTTCAACCCAAGGCTATTGGCACAGCACTTGTGCTTTCTCACCTCATCAATGTGCTCCGTGGGAGCAGGTCGCGGGTTCAATTCCTCCAGCCGCCCAATTATCGCGTGCAGATAAGCCCGCTTGGCGGATGGCATGCCAAAGATGCCCCGGTTGAGGCCTAGAGGGGGAAGAATAGGGGGGAAGCGAGGGGTGGGGGGAAGGCGGGGGGAGGGCATGGGAGGGGGGGGAACGGGGGGCTTGAGGGGAAGGGGAACGGCTTGATGGCATGCTTAAGATGCCGCGGGGATGGGAAACCACAGAATTACATATTATAGACACTGAACCCAGGAGTGACGCACTCAGGTATCGTCAAAGTTAGACCTACCACGCAATTGACTCTCTTGGGTCGACATTGGGAAGAATTCTGATAAAAGAATAGTCTTATCATAGCTCCCACCTTCTAGACCGGCGTAAAGCGCGGCCTTTAGCGACGGAGCGTCGCTAGGCAGGGAATGCGGCTCGGCAGCAGCATCCTCGGAAGCAGCAGCCTCGATATTGTCCCCGGAAGACGCTGCGGTGGAAACGCGACCTCGAGCAGGCGACACGTGACTGACCCAGCATCGATTGTGCCGCGCCTCGGGGTTGAATTCGTGAGGCGCCGGGTCCCACGTGCTGGTTCGTCTGGGGCATGCCGAAGCAGCTCTAACTTGCCGAGCCTGCCCGCCTACTACCCGAACCTGCGTGTCTAGCCGAGCCTGACTGGTTATCCGAGCCTCTCGTCCTACCGACGGGGTTTTCTGGGGAACAGAAACAGTAACGGGAGAGATGACCCGTAAAGCCATTGCGTGAAGCGCGTATCAGCGACTGGTGCTGCTGACACATTCTTGTACAAAAAAAACGATAATATATTAACTGTGTCGATTGTTGACACGTCTGGATGGTGTAGTCGGTTATCACGCCAGTCTCACACACTGGAGGTCTCCGGTTCGATTCCGGGTTCAGACATCCTTTTTTCCCCCAGCTGCAAGCGTATGCCGCATGTTTGCCTTTACCTGTCCATGTTTGGCCTTGCCTCTGCATGGTTGCCTTGCCCGTACGTGTGCCTGTGCATGTTTGGCGCTCTCACCTGTGAAAGAGGCTTTCTTTTCAGCATGGCGTATGCCAAAGGCATCCATAATTTTCAGACTGAGTCACTCCGGCAGTGAACCATAGCCACCAGTCCACCTCACAGCATACCATACGTTAGGTTCTTGAAAACTGCTGTTTGTGCTATTTAGCATACCGTATTGAAGAAAAAGAATGAATGTATATCCCATAGAGAGTAAACTCTAGCACCGAAGTTGGTGCCTTGATGAGTTGGTACTGTATGTAAGCTACAGCAGTCCTATGCCTTTATTCCGGGCAGCAAATAAAAGAATGTCGAAACTTCCAATCCGCTACCTGGCAGCTTCTACTGCAGTACTTGGCTCGGCCGCACCTGACACAGGTCCGGAACTCCCCAACCCTCGTCTCAGGCCTGCCACAGGCTGGGCTGCCACAGCAACGGCGGCCCGCGGGGAGCGGGCGGATGGCATGCCAGGTGGCAAGAAACGAGTGGATGCGATGGGGCGGCGAAGGGCGGGGAAACGCGAGCTGGAGAGCGAGAGGGCAGTGAGTGTGGTTGTGTGTGTAAGTGAGGAGGGAGGAGAGCAAGACCTGGGTGAGGTGGGTGCTACTGGCATTGAGGGATGCCCTCTCATTGTGAGGCTGAGTGCCTTGTTGGGAGCGGTGGTGGTAATGGTGAGAAAGAGTATGATCTGTATGGCCTCGGGACAAGCCTTCCTGTGCGCCGCTCGTCTTCCCATCCTCCTCTAGACCCACACATTCCTCCTCTTCCCCACTCTCCTCCTCCTCCTCCTCATCCTCCTCCTCCTCATCCTCCTCTTCATCCTCATCTACACTCCATCCAGCGGGCCTCTCCCCTCCAAACAGTTCATACAGAGTGTCCCTGGGAGGAGCGAGCAGCAGGTTCAAGCAAGGCTGATTCAAGTCCCTGCAAGCAGACGCGGTGCATTCTTGACCATCTTCTGCCGGCTCCACTGCTCGGTTCAAATCCAGATGCAGATTACCTTGTCTGTGCTGTTGCTGCTGATGAGGCCGCCGCAGCTCATCCTGCTGTTCCGCACTCTTTTCTGTTGCCTCCCGCTGCTGCAATCGGTGCTGGGGCATCCTATTGTCGTTTCGTACCTGCTGGTTACCAGCCTCCTCTGTAACACTAACCAATCCAGCCCCGCTCTGGAGCGCCTCAGTCCCTTCCTCCTCCATCCTGTCTCTTACATAAGCATTCCAACGAGCAGCCGCTTCGGCCGCAGCACTTACAGGAGCCCCACTTTGCCTGGGAACCACTTCAGTGGGCTTACTCCCACTAAGAGGCCATGAGACAGACCGCCCGAATCTCCTGCTCCGCCACGCCTGTAAAGCTTTCTTGCCAGCCTCTTCTTGACCTCGTGTAGCACCAGCTGTGGCTGGATCTCCATTATTTGCTGCTGCGCCTGCTCCCTGCCCTGCTGCTACTGCTCCTTGTGCTCCTGTAGTTCGTGCTGCCTGTATACCAGCTGCTGTAGTTTGCGCTACAGCTGGGGCTGTAGCTTGCGCTACAGTCGGCACAGCTGGAGCGGCTGGTGCTGCGGCTGATGGAGTCATTAGGGCGGCAGGTGAGTGAGGTGGAAAAGGAGTGGAGCATGTGAAGGAGAGAGGGCTAGCGGAGGGCGAGAGCGGGCAGTTTCCGCAGCGGCAGCTGCTTGTGCTGCCTTCCATAGCAGCTGATGCATGCTGAAGCAGAAGCTTTCCAAGAGAAATGCGCTGGGAGACACCATAGCCGTCCTGAAGCGAGAGAGAGAAATCCAAAAACAGGGAAGACAATCAGGACTCGGATGTAATTGACATCATAAGAACCAGGAACTGTAGATTGGTGCATCAAGCCAAGCACGAAGTAGGAATAAGCATAACTCAATATCGTAACGTACCACGAAACAGTGACCCAGTTCTTGTAACGCAGGCATGAATCCCAACTTCGCCGCCCGCCAGCACAGATCCACACCCGCCTGCGGATTTGTGTCCCGCGCGGTTCCGCCACTCCCGTGAAAGTTGATTATAGCGAGGGAATAGGTCGCGGGGCCGTGTCCGCACTCCGCCGCTTGCGCGAGCAAGCGCGCGCCCGCCCAGTGATTTCCGATACAGTAAAAGGAGATCTGTGGTGGAAATTTGATGGGCAAAAGGGAAGAGCGTAAAGGGAGGGCAGAATTAGGGTGCGATCGAGATTAGGTGAAATCCGAAAGCCAAAAGTAATTTTTTTTACATCTAGTGTTAGGGCTTAAAAAATTAACCCTTAGTCCGGCCTATCCAATAGGAGTTCTCCCGTCACGGGGTTTCCGCACGCACCATGCCCGCGATATAGATTGCTTCGATGTTGCCCTCTGCCGCGGCGCTGAGCAGAAATCGCTGCACTGCGGGAGTCCAGTGCGCCGCGTCAATCGGCAGCAGAGACTCGACGGATGCGGACGCCAGCAGCGACCAGTGCGACGCAGGCCGACAGATGTCGTAGAAGCGCCGGCATCTGTAGCGACAACCAGAACGAAAAGGAAAAGCATGTGAAATTCAGGATAATAATGACGGGAAAAAAAAATCACAGCAAAAGCAGAGCCGTGATGGCGTAGCGTCTGCCCATGCTTTATCACAAATCAGGACGGAGGGAATAACTTATACGAAGAGTCTATAGATTACAGCTAGCTCTCACGTTAGCAGCAGGCTGGCGATGTCGGAGAGCGATTGCGCCTTCTTGAAGACGTCGCGCAAGATGGTCGCGACGAGCTCGTTCTGCGGGCACACGGGGGAAGGGAGGCGCAAGGGCAATGGGGAAAGGGAAAAGGGGGAAGGACGGGGAAATTGTCAGTGGTAGATCGGAATGAGCTCGTTCTACAGGGATCGATACAGCAAGGGATCCCGACGAGCTCAGCCGGACATAGGGGAAAGGATGGGAGATGGGAGGAGAGGAAGGGAGCGGAGACGGGGAAATATCGACAGGTGAACACAGGGATGGGGAACGGGACGGTGAGGGGGAAGCGGGAGGAAAGAGGGAAGGGAGAGGTCGGGGGGGGGGGGGGGGGAGGGGGGGTGGGGAGGCGTCTGACGGGAGGAATGATGGTAAAGCGAACGGAAAGGGACGGCGTGAAGGGAATGGATTTGAATTGCGGGCAAGAAGTTGACGCTGGGAGATTTGGGGAAAGGGAGAAGGAGGAAGGGGAAAAGGTGTGCTGGGAAAGGAAAAGCGGGCGAAGCGCGGGGTCGCGGCGCGGGGAAACCTACAGGAAGACGATCGATATGGCAAGAGGCGGAAGGAAGCGGCGACGCGTCCGCGCCTCCCTTCCCCCGACGCGCAGTCGCGCAGTCGTCAATCTCAAGCGCAGCGCATTGTCCGCCGCTTGCGGCGTCCGCATGGCGCAAGCTCGGGACAGCAACCCAGCTGCGGCGCGAAGGCTCTGCTGCCGCGGCGCTGTTTGCGTAGGACGTCCTTAAACGCTTGTTCGGCCAACCCATGGGATCCAGCGCATTCATGAACGGATGTTGCGAGACGTGTTGCGTAGGAACGAGCGGCGACATCTGCGCCCACTGGATGGAGACGAGTCGCGCCAAGTTCTTAGCGGCTTCAACAGCGAATGAGCCAGCGAATCGTCGAAGGGAGAAGGCTAAGTTTTCCGCGGCGCATTAGAGTCTTCTTCGCGTCAGTTGTCCGACGAAGCTTCGTGGGAACGCGCAACCACTTTCGAGCACACGAGAAAATATTACTAAATAGGCGATCGTAGCGCCGAGGTGAGAAGATGACACGAGGCCAGGCGAGGTGGCGTAAGATGTTATGGCCACGTGATCATTGCAAGTCGTTTGCTTAGTGATCGCAGCAAGGTACGGCCCCTACCAGCTTGCCTGCGAAGGGCTGAGTCCTGTTGGGGTTGGGGTTGCTTGCAAATGCAATCCAGTCACCACAGTCAATCCAACCTCTCCGACGAAAGAGTTTCTATTTGCTGCTGCAATGCTGTCTGTGGGTGGGAGTTTTTTCCCTGTGTGTGTGGTCGAATTTCTCCCTGCGAAGTGCTGCTGTTGGACGAGACGAGGCTTGAGACTTGGTTTGATGCCAACGAGCGGGGAAGTTGCTTTGCGCGTGTGAAACAACTGCTGTCGTCGAGACGATCTTGCAGCGTTCTTCTGTTCTCTGTCCCAGTTATTGCTTCCCCCCCGTCCCTTGTTTCGCTCCCTCCCCCATGGTGTGTGGCGTGGTGGTGGGGTAGCGCTTGATCATCCGCCGTTTTATCCGCTCGCATTCAAATTCTACAGCTGTTTGCGCGAATGTTGGGGGGAATAAGTTCGGAAGGGGGAGGGAATTAGCGGAAGCATTACACAAGGCGCCTTGAGGTGATGAGTCAGTTGCCCTTCGTCCAGCGTGGCATTGGCAAGTTTGGCGATTTGACAGCCACTGGAAGTCGTTGTCACGAAGGGGATTTCGCTGGGGCAGAGCGTGAAAACAAACTTGACCAGATTCAGGCGAGAAAATCCTGGCAACAGGCAGACGGGGAAACAGAATTCAAGGGGTGATCAAAGTTGTAAAACCATGGCAAAACCAGGCAACAGGCAGGCAGGCAGGCAAGGGAGCTGCCAAACCATGGGCTGCAAAAAACATCTTTGCGTACAGTAACTGTCTGTCAGACCTTGATTTCAATCCAAGGCCCAACCTAGACAACTGGCATGACAAGTTGCCACCGACAGGTAATGAAATGAACGAGGGGTACAGCATCCACCACACAGTCCGAGTTTGTTTTGCACAACCGAAATGATAGTGGGCGCGATGCGGTGGAAATTGACGTGCGAATTCGGCCGATGTGCAAACATTCCTCCAAGACCAACGAGAGCAGCACCCGGCCTCCCCGCGAGCACAAAGAACGAAGAAAACCTCAAAAGCCTGCCCGGGCTCCCCAAACCGCCGAATATATCTCAGCGGACAAGCGAGCCCGCCCAGGGGAGCTCGCTGCCCGCGGGCAAAAAAAATAAACCCCAGACGGGCATGCATCCGGTCAGGGAGCCTCAACCCTAAACGCGGGGAGGCATGGTGTTTAGGGCGTGTTCGTTTTTCCCTACAATGTTCGAACTTTTGTGGTAACCATCTGTCACGAATGTCGCGTAAAGTGTTCGCCAAGACCTCGTTTTGAGAGTATCCGCTTTGGGGCACGATTGCACGAATTCGAATCCTGGCTATGTGCGACGTGTCAAATGTTGTAGCCTATAGTGAGGTTTGTCTTAGGGGGTACAAAACTTAGGGTTAGCTATATGTACCCCAACCAACATCAATGCATCATCCATTCTTCATTTTGACATGGTATCAGTTAGGTTAGGATCCTGTGGGATCCCGTTCCTCCGTTCTCCGTTCGAGCCTCCCGAGCCTGATCCTAGCTCTCATTCGTCCCGGTTCCGTTGTTACCGCGCGTAGTGCCGAGCCTAGCGCCAATCCTAGCGCCCGTCCGCGCCACCCGTTCCCCTCGTTCCGTAGCGCCCGCCCTTACCCCCCGTCGCGTCGCGTTCCCCCCCCACGTCGTGTCGCGCCCGTTCCCCCCGTCGCGTCGCCGCCCATTCCCCCCGTCGCGTCGCGCCTTTTCCCCCCGTCGCGTCCTGCCCGCCCTTTCCCCCTCGTCGCGTCCCTTTCCCCCCGTCGCGTCCTGCCCGCCCTTTCCCCCTCGTCGCGTCCCTTTCCCCTCCGTCGCGTCCTCCCCGCCCTTTCCCCCCCTCGTCGCGTCCCTTTCCCTCCGTCGCGTCCTGCCCGCCCTTTCCCCCTCGTCGCGTCCCTTTCCCCCCGTCGCAACCTCCCCGCCCTTTCCCCCTCGTCGCGTCCCTTTCCCCCCGTCGCGTCCTGCCCGCCCTTTCCCCCTCGTCGCGTCCCTTTCCCCCCGTCGCGTCCCGCCCGTCCTTTCCCCTCGTCGTGCCCCTTTCCCCCCGTCGCGTCCCGCCCGTCCTTTCCCCCCCGTTGGGTCCCTTTCCCCCCGTCGCGTCCCGCCCGTCCTTTCCCTCCGTCACGGCCCGCCCCTTCCCCTTTCCCCTGTAGCGGCCCGCCCTTTCCCCTGTAGCGGCCCGCCCTTTCCCCTGTAGCGGCTCGCCCCTAAACCCAGCCCGTCGTCTTAACCCTAGCCTGCTCTTCCGCTGCCACTGTATCCCTAGCGTTAGTTCTCGCTATGGCGACTCCGCGTGTGCTTCGTTTCGACGCTGACGGTAGACCTCTTGATTTTTCCGTCTGGCTTCTTCGTGCTCGCCGTCTGTTAGAGAGTCAGGTCCAGGCAGGCGAGACCCTCTGGGCGCACGCTACTGGTGCCCTACCTGCGCCCCCCGACCCTACGCCTTTAGGACCTGCCCCTGACGAAGCCGCTAGAGCCCGCTTTGCCACTCAGCGAGCTGACCAGACGGCTTGGACGTCGGCCTGCATCGCGCTCAGCAGCCTCCTCCCTGAGTCTGAGGAGGTTCACTTCACTCAGGTTCGCACCGCTGCTGAGTACCTCACTGCGATTAAGGCCCGCTACTCTTCTCCCGCTGCTGTCTCTCTTGGCCGCCTGTTCCTCCCGTTCCTGTTTCCTGACCTAGCGTCTTTTGAGCGCTCTGCTGACTTGATCGCTCACCTCCGCTCGCTCGACGCTAGTTACCGCGCTGCTTGCACTGAGGCACAGCTTGCACTGCTTCCTCCCCCTATGGCGATTACTATCTATTTCATCGCCACTAGCCTCCCTGACCGCCTTGCCTCCGTTCGCGACGCGCTTCTGCTGAAGCACCCTAGTGAGCTCACCGTCGATGTCCTTGAGTCTACACTCAAGGACGTCGAGAGCAACCTTCGCTCGGTAGCCGCTGCCTCTGGTGCTGTGCCCCCCCCACTCTTCCACGGGTGCACAGTCCCGCAGTTACCCACCTTTACTGCCTCACTTGCCACTGCCGCTACTGACGCGACTGCAGCTGCTGTTACGACTGCGTCGCGGTCCCGCGGTAGGAGTGGCAAGAAAGGCGGTTCTGGTGGTGGTAGTGGAGGTGGAGGCGGAGGTAGTGGAGGTGGCGTTGCGCCTGGCGGCGGTGGAGGTTCAGGGTCTGGAGAGGCGCCTCGTGCAGTGACTGGTGACTCCACTGCGCCTGCTAGTGGTGGCGACGCCCGAGTTCGTCAGTCGCCTCCTGTACTTCCTGCCCCGGTTGGTGGAGCAGCGGCGTGGTACCAGGCTCAGCGTCAGCAGCAGCTTCTGCAGCACCAGCAGCCCCTCTCCTCCCAGCAGCCTCAGCAGCAGCAGCGGCAGCAGCTGGCTCCAGGGTCGGGGCTGCGTCAGACCCAGCGTGGTGCTGCTTACACTCCCTGCACCTACCAGGTTCTGACAGGCCCTCGTCGTGGCCACCCTTGTGGCCGGTTTCACCCCCCTGGTCAGTGCTTTGCTCAGCTCACTGACACGGTTCGTTTGGTCTACGGGGTTGGTGCTCCTGCCCCTGACTGGCTGCCTCTTGTTCAGCGCTACGGCTCCGCTCTGTGGGGCATGTCTGCTGAGCAGTTAGTTGATCTGATTGGTACTCCCCATGCTATGTATGCTGTTGTTGACTCTAGTGTTTCTGACTCTGCTTACTCTGGTGTTGTTAGCTTAGGTGCTAGCCTTGCTCAGTTGCCTGTTGCTAGTGTAGGTTCTTGTGTAGACTCTAGTCCAGCGGCTACCTCAGAGGACGGTTCGCTGTCGTTCACGCTGGACTCTGGAGCCTCTCACTGCTTCTTTCGTGACAGCACGACACTTACGCCTCTTCCTGCGCCTGTTTCTGTGGCGCTGGCTGATCCCACTTCGGGACCAGTCACCGCGCGTCACACTACCACCTTGCCGTGTCCGGCTGCTCCTTCTGGGTCTCTCACTGGGTTTCACGTCCCCTCGTTCTCCCGGAACTTGGTGGGCGTGCGACCCCTCGTGAGTCAGCACGTGGGTGTGTGGTTTGAGCCTTCTGGAGAGACTGCGGTGTGTGTTGACGGGGACTCTTACCAGCCCCTCGCCACTTTTGCTGCTGAGCCGGGCTCCGGTCTCTACACTCTTCACACTGGCCCGCGCGCTCAGCAGCGACTGCAGCAGCAGCAGCAGCCGCAGCAGCAGCAGCAGCAGCAGCCGCAGCAGCAGCAGCGGCAGCAGCCGCAGCCGCAGCCACAGCGGCCGCCGTCGCAGCAGCCACTCCTCCCAGTTCCTGTCCCTCCCCCTAGTCTCCTCCCTGCGTCTCACCAGGTGGTTCCGTCCCCTCAGGTTGTCGCGTCCAGTCCAGTCGCTGCGTCTTGCTCCTGTCGGTCGCTTGCCCACCCCACCGTTCTGTGGCACCACCGGATGGGACACCCTTCTCTTCCACGTCTGCGTGCTATGTCTAGTCAGCGTCTGGTCTTAGGTCTCCCGCGTGTCTTGCCGTCGCTGCCGCCGTCCCTTGCACCACCGTGCGGTCCTTGCGTCGAGGGTAGGCTGCGTGCCACCCCTCACTCCTCCTCCCTTCGTCCGGCCACCGAGCCTTTTGAGACGCTGCACTTGGACGTCTGGGGCCCCTCTCCTCGCCCTGGCCCTGAGCGTGAGCGTTTCTTTTTGGTGGTCGTTGACGACTACTCCCGCTACACCACAGTGTTCCCCCTGGCGAGGAAGTCTGAGGTGACTTCTACGCTGATCAGGTGGTTGCTTACCACCCAGGACACTCGTGGTCGTCGTGTCAGCTGTCTCCACTCCGACCGCGGGGGCGAGTTTCGCTCCGGCATTCTCGCTGGATTCTGTCGCGAACAGGGCATTCGTCAGTCCTGGACGCTTCCGGAGTCCCCACAGCAGAATGGGGTTGCTGAGCGTCGCATAGGCCTGGTCATGGAGATTGCCCGCACCTCCTTGACTCACGCCCGTGCCCCCCATTTCCTGTGGCCATACGCAGTCAGGTACGCCGCGCACCAGCTGAACCTCTGGCCACGCGTCTCTCGGCCGGAGGCTTCACCGACCAGTCTTTGGACAGGGTCCCCTGGTGTCGCGTCGAGGTTTCGTGTCTGGGGGTGCTTGGCTCTTGTCCGCGACACCTCCGCGGACAAGCTCTCGCCTCGCGCCGTTCCTTGTGTCTTCCTTGGTTTCCCTGAGGACTCCTCTGACTTCACCTTTTACCACCCTCCCTCTCACCGGTTCTTTGACTCCCGTGACGTCCGTTTCGAGGAGTCCACCCCGTACTACGTCAGGTACCCCAGTCGAGGTCTCCCGGTTCCTCCTCCCCCCCTCTTCCTGACAGCCGCTCCCCCGCCTGCTCCCCCGGTACAGCCTCCCCCCCCTGGTCCAGCCCCGTCTGGTGTGTCTCAGGCTAGCCCTCCCCCTTCGGTAGCCCCCCCTGTACAGCCTCCCTCCCCACAGTCTTCCTCACCGCCTCCTGTAGGTGCTCCCTCTCGGGAGGTTGGTCCTGCGACTGTCCCTGTACAGGTCTCTGGTTCTGGGGGTGCTGGAGTTGGAGCTGAGCCGCGGGTTGCAGAGGACTCTTGTCTTCCGGGGGCTGGTACTGGTCGTGCGGAGTCTGGGGGTGCTGGTGCGGAGTCTGGGGGTGCTGCGTCTGGGGGTGAGGGTGTCCCTTCGGTTTCTGGAGAGCCTGGGTCTGGAGCTGGTGTTGGTGCTGCCTCTGGGGGTGGTGTGCTTGGTGCTTCGGAGGTCGACTCTGGGGCTGCCGCTGCCCCGGACACTACTCCTTCCCCCCACCCCTACCCGACCAGGTTCCAGGCTCGTGTTCGCCGTGCTCGTGAGGAGCAGCTGGAGTTGGAGAGAGAGGAGAGAGAGTTGCAGCGGCTCGAGGAGCAGGAGCGACAGCAGCAGGGGCAGCAGCCGCTGGAGCAGCAGCAGCCGCAGCAGCCGCAGCAGCAGCAGCTGCCGTCTCCTCCTCCTGTCTCGGGTCTTCGGACCCTTGGTCTCCCCTCTCCCTCTCCTTCCTCCTCCCCCTCTCCTCCCGTCTCTGGTCCTCCGCTTCCTCCTCCTGACCCCTCTCCCGCTGTTTTCCCTCGTTCTCAGTCTTCGTTGTCCCCTCCTCCTTCTCAGACTTGGGCCTCTCGTCGCTCCCCTCGTGCTCGTCCCTCGTCTCCTGTTCCCTTCACTGACCTTCGTACTGCCTTACTTCGTTCTAGTCCACCTCGTCCGTCTCCGTCTGTGCTTCCGTCTCCTCCTGAGTCGGCTCTCACTGCGTCGCTCCCTACTCCTGTCACTGACTACTACCGCACGTACCGTCCTCTTCTCTCTCGTGTTCTCGCCTCGCTTGTTACTCACCCTCGTGCCTCTGTGTCCTCTGTGTCCGCTCTTACTGCCGCAGTCACTGACTTTGCCTCTACCCGCCGCCTTGACTTCGCCACCGCTCTTGTGGCTGCTCCTCCTTCCAGTCCTCTGGCCGTCGGGGGTGTGTCTGCCCTTGGCTGTGACGCCCTAGAGGACAGGCAGTTTGAGCTAGAGTTCCTGGCGGCCGCTTCCCCTCATCTCTGTGCCATGCTCCTCGCCCCTGAGGGTGACCCCGACGCCCTTGACATTCCGACTCCTCGCACTTACGCTGAGGCAGTGTCAGGGCCTTGGGCCTCTCAGTGGAGAGCTGCCATGGACGCAGAGATGGCCTCCTACAGATCCACAGGCACCTACGTCGATGAGGTTCCCCCTCCGGGGGCGAACGTAGTCGACGGCATGTGGATCTACAGGGTGAAGCGGCCACCGGGATCTCCTCCGGTCTTCAAGGCGCGCTACGTGGCTAGAGGTTTCAGTCAGCACGAGGGAGTTGACTTCTTTCAGACCTTCGCGCCCACCCCGAAGATGACCACTCTTCGGGTGTTACTACACGTAGCAGCACAGAGAGACTACGAGTTACACTCTCTCGACTTCTCTACTGCTTTCCTTCAGGGCAGTCTTCACGAGGAGGTCTGGTTGCGTCGTCCCTCTGCCTTCACTGGCTCTTTCCCTCCTGGGACCCAGTGGAGGCTGAGGCGACCGGTTTACGGTCTTCGTCAGGCTCCTCGTGAGTGGCACGACACCCTGCGTTCTACCCTGTCTGACCTTGGGTTCCAGCCGTCTTCTGCTGACCCGTCGCTGTTCGTTCGTCGTGGCCCCACACCTTTCTTTGTTCTGGTCTACGTTGACGACCTTGTTTTCGCCACCCCTGACAGGGTTGCTTTGGCACACGTGAAGTCCGAACTGCAGAAGAGACACACCTGCACTGATCTTGGTGAGCTGCGCCACTACCTTGGCCTGCAGATCACCAGGGACAGAGCTGCTCGCACCATTACACTTTCACAGTCGCACATGGTGCAGCAGGTCCTTCAGCGGTTCGGGCTTCAGCACTCCACAGTACAGCGCACACCTCTTGCTGTTGACCACAGACTCACTGGACCCTTTCCTGACGAGCCGTTCGAGCCTAGTGGTCCCTACGCAGAGCTTGTGGGTTGCCTCATGTACCTGATGACTTGTACTCGCCCGGACCTCGCCTTCCCTCTCAGCGTTCTTGCGCGCTTTGTTGCGCCAGGGAGACACCGTCCTGTTCACTGGACAGCAGCTGTGAGGGTGGCGAAGTACCTAGCGACGACGTCAGGCGTGGGGCTAGTTCTTGGAGGGCAGCAGTCTGTCGTACTTACTGGTCACTGTGACTCTTCTTACGCTGACGACGCTGAGACTCACAGGTCTACTCAGGGGTACTGTTTCAGCCTGGGTTCTGGAGCTGTTTCCTGGCGGTCCACGCGCTCCTCTTCGGTCTCGACCTCTACAGCTGAGGCTGAGATCTACGCTGGTGCCATGGCGGCACAGGAGCTGCGTTGGTTGACCTTCTTGCTCACCGACCTTGGTGAGCGGCCGAGCTCTGCACCGACCTTGTTCACTGACAACAAGGCGTCTATTCTCCTTTGTCGAGAGCCACGACTGGAGAGCAGAGTGAAGCACATTCACGTCAGGTACTTTCTTCTGCGAGAGTTGCAGAGGCGTGGACAGGCTCGCTTTGAGTTTGTAGAGTCCGAGGCCAACACTGCAGACATCTTCACCAAGGCGCTTCCGCCTTGTGACCACCAGAGGTGCTGTGTGCAGTTAGGCCTTGTTGACACTGGTTCTCGTGTTGCTTAGACTTGAGTGTACTGTTTACTTTGCTTTCTATATACCTCTGTTACTTCTTGGACTGGCCTTGTGGCCACTGTTGTTTGTGCTCAGACTGTGTGGTGACGTTGTGATCCACCCTGAGCTTCGTTTCTTGGACTGGTCTTGTGACCGTACTCGTTTGGTTCTGCTAGACACCCCTCACTTAGGCTATGGGGGTGTGTCAAATGTTGTAGCCTATAGTGAGGTTTGTCTTAGGGGGTACAAAACTTAGGGTTAGCTATATGTACCCCAACCAACATCAATGCATCATCCATTCTTCATTTTGACACGACGCCACAACTTTGGTGTGCGACTCTGCGACCTTTGCGACATGCAATCTAGAATTGGAGGGAAACCAAATGTGTACGGTCAATCTTGACATGTGCGGCGCGGCTGAAACAGGCATTGCGAAATTGTCTAGGCCAGCCCACACATGTCACCCTCGTACAAATACAGCTGCAAACCTCGTCGATAGTTGTGCCAGTTCAGTCCGCTCGATAGTTGATTTTTCCTAGCACAGCCATGGCTACCAATCAGCCCACTGACGCTACAGACGACTCCAACAACTCACCCCCTCAGCCGCCATCTGCGCCACCCCTTGCTCGTGCCACCGGCACTGCCCCAAGCACTGCTATTAATCTTGACGACATGCCAGCCTATAGTGACGACCTAGGTGATCAAGACGCGGCGTTTGCTGCTAGTGACTACGGCGACGTTGATGACGACCTAGACGACCTCGACGACGTCGACTTGTCTGACGACGAGGCTCCGGATGGGACTGCTGCGGCTAACACTCTGGCGCGCCGTGGCGATAATGGCAAACGTCCGGTCGCCACTGGTGCGCGCTGGGTGCCGGTAGAAGAGCATCAGCTCGCAATCGTGCGCCACGATCTCCACACCGAAGTGGAGGCGCAGAATAGGCTTCAGGGGCAGAACATCTACACTACTGTCACCGAGGAGCTTAAGAAGCGGCATCCGGAGTGGCGTCACACATGGCAGGCGGTCAAAGCCAAGCTTCTCCGCATGGAGGCTCGCTACCGCAAAATCCGTGACAAGATTCTCAAGAAGAGCGGTCGCGGTCGCCCGTTGAAGCTCCCGCCCTGGTATGAGCTGTTTGATGTCATTTTTGGCGAACGGGAGAACGTAAACCCCACCCATCTTGCGGCCAGCACGACTGCCCCTCCGCGGGCTGCTACAAACGAGCAAACCCCAAGGCGTGGCGGCCAGATCACCAGCGGTAAGGGCTGCGTTTCTGTATATTTGTAGTTTAAGATATCATGTTTCCTAACCCGGGATCATGAGAGGACCACGTATGCAATACATTCTGCCCTTGCAGGCATTCCGCCTCTGCATGCTGCAAATCGTACTGCATTGACAAATGCCATGGCTGAGTCGCATATGATTTGTAAAATGATGGAGAAAAAGCCTTTTCGATTGCGGAAGTCCTCTCGGTGAATGCCCCAGCCCCGCGTTCGGATGTAGGTTCCATCAATGGCGCCCACGACTCCGGGGATGCCTCCTCTCATGCGAAATTCCGCCGCCATACGCCCCAAGTCGTCGGGCGTTGGCCACTTAACCCACTTCGGGACCAGCCAGGTCGTCACAAACACGATGAAGATGTCGTAGACTTTTTTGGCGTAGGAGACACTGAATCCAAAGTGAAGGCCGAGCTCCCTGTAGCTCCATCCCTGTCCCATCCGAGTGAGTGCCAACGCCACTTTCACAAAGTTGCCGTCGGGCTGGTTCGGTCGCCCGAATCCACTGAGCTCGTAATGCCGCACGAGGTAGACGTAAACGCGACGGTCAACGCGCAGGTAATCGTAAAAGCGGGCGTCGGGAAGCTGTTGCAGCAGTCGCATCCAACGCCATCGGGCGTCTAAACGGTCCCCACGGACGAAGACTCGAGTCGTCATCATGGTGGCCGCGACAACCATGTCGGCGATGGCGTTGGGCAGCGCCACTACGAGGGGGAGCACGAACGAATGCACGTAGCCCTGCCACATGATGGCAAGCAGCTGGAGAAGGCGGCGGAGAGACATGGCGTGAGAAGTGGTCCCTCTAGTGCCACTAGAGATGTGTTGTGCATTGTCGAGTGAGTTTGTGCATGCTTTGTACTTGAGCAATGTTGCTAGCACTCTGCATGTCAAGAATGTTTTGTGTGGGCGCTTCGATGTTTGTGCGGTTCGATGTTGGTGAGTTGTTTGGTGCATGGCTTTCATTGGCTGGTCACATGTTTGCTGGAAATGTGCGACTTTGCTGACTTGGCTGCGACACTTTGCAATTCTGCTGCGCGGCCCGCTGAAATCCGAATATCGAGGTGTGACATATTTGGGACCAGATTGTTGGTCAAGGTTTCCAGCTCGGGTGACATAATAGGGGACCATGTTCGAATAGTACAATTCGATTTTTGCAAACCCTTAAAATTCGAATTCGAAATTCGAATTTCTGACCCCCCCGACAAAACGAACACGCCCTTTGAGGCTCCCTCGGATGGCATGCCATCCGATGGGGTTTTAGTTTTTTTCTGCCCGGGGCAGCATGTCGTCAAGTCGTCAGAGGGTCGTCAGGCTTGACGACCCGTTTCCGCTGAGATTTTCCTAAATACAAATCACATTTGTGTGGAAAGTGAGTGAGGTGGCCCTAGCTTCAGCTAAATACAATACATAGAAAATGTTTTCTGCCTCGTCAAGACATTCTGGAAAACTCAGCATCGAAGCAACATCATTCAATGCCATTAACAAAACTGAATGCTTCGTATCTAGGAACGTCAGGAAAAGATCATCTCATAATGCAGGCGCGCATGGAACAGCACTTAGGATCTCCGTCAATCACCTTCTGTTATGACGCCCGTTCAAATCTTCTTGAAGGGTGAAGAAGTTCGCCAATACAGAAACCAAAAGTCGCGAATGCTTTCGAATGCCAGAACACTGACTCAAGAACTGGCTGATTTTGTAATGAAAAAACATGTGAATACACTCGTGAAACGCAGCCTCACCTGATGTCTAGGCTTGACAGTCAAACCCAGTGTACGACTGTGGGACCTTGTGTTTGTTTTCTTTCTATACAGCTGTTTGCCAGCTGTCAACTACATCCAGACACTTGGCAAGCACTGATATCCTCTTGCACTGTAGACACATTTATCCCAGGAACAGTCTTGACTCGCCTGCTTTGTAAACAGAGTCTACAGCGAAAGGCGCTATCGCCCTAAGCTTGCTCGTAATTATGTTCCAAAAGCAGACAGCGGCTTGCATAATTCGCACATAGCAATAAACAAAATAACCACCCTAAGACATGGATACAGCCCCATGTTATCTTATGGTTACAGGCACAGAATAAGCTCCAAAATGCACACGTTATTGTAAAACACACATATGAATGCAACCAATCAACACAGGGGTATGACAGTATCAGTCCAGTGACTGGGAGAATAAATCACAGGTTCCAGAGACTCTTCAATCAGTAGTAGTCACCATGATCCTGGAACTTATCATCACATCTGCTTTTCAAGTCTCCCTTCCACCACCTCCCCCTCAGGCTTGCTGAAATTTTCCTGTCATACCGTCCCCTCCTGTCACCTTCAAGTCCTTCTGTCCCTTCCAACCCTACCCTAACCCCCTCCTCCCTCCTGTCACCTCCAATTCCTTCCTACACGTTCCCTGGCACTCCCTTCCGCCTCACCACCTCCCCACCCTCCCCCTTCCTCCCTTCACTTCTTTCACGCACATCCTTCCCATCTGCTTGGCACCCAACCCCTCTCTAAAGGTACATTACGCACACAACACCACAGCAACAGCTCCCATGTACTCATTATAGCGAAGCAGAGTAAGCACGACGGGTGGAATATGACAGTGGCGTGTAGAAGGGTGGTTTGTAGAAGGACGGCCTGTAAAAGAGTGGTCTGTAGGCGGGTGGTCCGCAGCAGGGTGTATGCAGCAGGATGTTTTTAGCAGGAGGATCCGTAGAAGGATTACAGGGCGTCTCAGCCAATAATCAAATCAGACTCAGGTAGTCATGCATTCGTGAACAATATTTTCCGAGGAGACGGAAAGACCTGCCCTTCATTGTCAAGCGCCAAAGCCAGGGTAAACTTCAGCTGGAAAATATCATCTGCCCCTCCCGCCCCTCCTCTCTCCTCCCCTTCGTCCTCGTCAGCCAACATAACCACGTCAACCTCCTCCTTAAATTTCACTCTCCTGCCCGCAGTGTTCGATCTAACAAGGGTAACTTCCCCGTTTTCGCGATCCTTGTTTCTGTTTACAGTCTCTGATTTGCTCCTCCGCCATAGGGTGGGAGGCTCCTCCTCTTCCTCTTCCTCCTCTTCAATAACTTGCTGACTGTGCGAACTGCTTCCGGAGTCGTTTCGTTTATGGCTCCCCATGCTTTCTAGTGACTCGTTAGAGGAACTTGGCTTCAGAATTCCGTGTCTATTAGGCTCCGCAGTCAGCCTTAAAGGGGATAAACCTGGCGGTTTCCTGCACGGACTGGGGCTATTCGTGCTAACGCCCGCTTTAGGCAAACCTTTTGGTTTCGACGAACCGTAATGCTCGAAACTTTCGCACCGCCTGTGCTGCACCGGCGGTTTGCCATACCCCGAAACTGCGCCGCCCAATCCGCTGCTCTTCCCACTTCCAGGCTCCAATTGACCGGGATCCAATGACGTGGCGCGCCGCAACCTATCCCCGAAAGCTTCTCTCGACTCGCCTGATTCCGCGTGGCTCCAAACGTGTCCACCGGGCGAGATCTGCTGCCTAGGAAGATTCGATTCTGGGCTGCTACCCGAAGATCTGAGGCTCCCCATGCCACTGCCGAGCCCCGCGCCAGCGCCGCTTCCCCCGCTTCCGCCGCCCCCGCCGAATCCGCCGCCGCCGCTGCTGCCGCCGCCGCCGCCGCCGCCGCTGCTGCTGCTGCTGCTATTGCTGTTGCTGTTACTACAATGGCTGGTAGAAGCCTTGGGAATGGGGCATTTATCAGACGACCCGCCGCCGAGTCGCGACGGCATGAGCCGACCGCTTTTAGTCCGGAAGATTCCTCGCAGCTTCCCGCCCCACTTGCCGTTGGCTGGCTTTTCCTCCACAAGCGCGCCAGCAACCGCTTCCCCCGCCGCTTTTAGCGCCGCATTCTCCGCTGCTGCTGCTGCTGCTGCTTCTCCTGCAAATGCGCCGGCTGGGAAACGGGAATTGCGGCGGACGGCGCGCAGTCGCCCATGTACTTGCGCTTCCAGATGCTTTCGAGGAAGCTTCCGTTGAGGACCGCGGCCGGCGGCGCCCAGGGCTCCGCGGGGACGTTCTGATCGACGAATAGCTGCCACGTGGCGTTCGCTCGCGCCACGACCGCGTGCGCGTGCTCCGGACCCAACGGCTCGCTGACGAATGGAAGATCTGCGGTTCGAGGAGAACGGGTGAGGAGGAAAGGAGCGGAGGGGGATCGAGGGGGGTGGAGGTGGGTGGGGAAAAGTGGGGGGAGAGTTAGGAAGGGTGGATGGGGAAGACAAAAGAAGGGCGAAGAATAATGAAGGGGGTAGATGAAGGGGGAAAGCGCGGATGGGGAATGCGCGGAGAGGGGACGGAAGGTTGAGATTGGGGGGAGGGCGGATGGGGGAGGGAGGGGAAGTGGGGGAAGAGTTGGAGAGAGAGGGAGAACACCGAACACTGCAGTCGGCAGAACACTGCAGTCGGCAGAACACTGCGAGCGGAGGGAGAAACGTGGAAGAAGCGGAAGCAACACCGGAAAAAGAAAAGAAAAGAAAAGAAAAGAAAAAAAAAACATTCGACGTCTAAATAATCCGGCGAATGTAAAGAGCGAAGGAGTGGTCTCAAAACTAGATAAGAGGAAGTGGGAAGGGGTTGGGGAAGAGGTGGAAGAGAAGAGGATATGACGGTAACGCCGTTACGAAAGCTAGCAGCCTCACCTGCTGCGTGCCGGCCGTTCGACTGGAGCACGTCGCGCGTGCGAAGCCATTCGCGAATGTCGTTAAGCGACCCTGGAAACGACGCCTCGACGTCTTCCATCGACTCCAACACGCTCGCGACGGGGCAGTTACCCGAAATCGCAACGACCTTCCATGCGAAACGTTTTCCCGTTGGAGACGCGACGGCGAAAGCTGCGAGAGGCTTGACCGAAACAACTTCGCCTAGAGCAATTTCGCTACCGCTAATCTCGATAACCTCTATCGGACGCTCGTCGCCAGGCACATTTGGTAACTCATCGCAAGTATCGTCGGGATCTTGTCGCGTTTGGGGCAGCAGCCCGAGACTCCACGGGCAGTTTGTAGAAAAATGTTTTGGAACAGCCGCTGAGACTACCGCACCCTCGCTAGCGCCTCCCGATGATCCTCCTAAGGCGTCGGAGTTTCCTGAAGTTGCGGAAACTTGAAACGGAGCGCATCTTAACGGGTTGTAATCTTCGGGGGCGAAATCGTGCGGAAGCCATGTGCCGGCGGGAGCGGCGGAGATGCAATGTAAGAGGCAGTCAGGGTCGTAAAGCGGAATATCGTGGCACGGGGAGAGTATGTGGCGGTGGGTGGAATGGAGAAAAATCATACGGAAGGAGGACGAGCCGCGCGTGCCGAATTGTAAGGTTTCCCATTGCTTATCACGCGATGTCATTTTTATGAGGCGGTTCGATGGGGTATGTGATCACAAGTTAGACTAAGACTCAAGACCGTGGCTTTTATTTACCAGGAAAGGTAAGAAGTGATGAGAGAGAGACGTGAGTTGAGAAAACAAGCTGGCGGAACTAACTGCTCTACTCAGGTGGTAGTGATCAAAATCGACAGGGTATTTTGCTTTCGAGTATGATTACGGCGGTTCGGTACGATTCTTCGCGTGGCAGGACGGTTTATTTGGAATATTGAGCATTTTTGCAGAGTTTGGACTTACCCATTATGCCGCTCTGTGATTCCTTGTTTCAGCGAGGCGAACATACAGCTGTCTCCCGAGGAAGAAAGGTGTGGGGCAGGGCGCGGGGAGGTAGGGGGGAGGTGGGATGGGAAGGGAGAGTACAATGCGCAAAACGACAATTTTTGAAGGGGCGAGCGAGCTCATCAGAGTACTGTAACTTTCGCATACGAGCGATCTCGTCAGCGAGGAGAAGAAATTAGGGCACAGTAGTGGTGTGACGACGAAGCAAGGTAACCAGCAGTTGTACGACAGAAGTGGTAGGTGAAGAGCACACTTTCACTTCCACAAGAGGAAGCCACAGTGGTGATTTTCGGCTCATGCATGATGGCGGTGCTTTTGCTCACGCAGAATTTCCGACGTGGCATGCGGATATCCACACTGTGGAACTGATGCCAAACTTCCGCGAACGAAATTCTGGAACCTTGATTTTCAAGGCTGGAATTCATGACAGGAACGGATGCCTCGTCGTCGATCATTACTGAAAATAAATGCACGCAGAACGACAAATTTCGCGTGACCTTTCGCACAGCCAATTAGTTGGCAAAAACAGCTGGCAAATGAGCAGCTGGCGGATGTACTGTATCGGCTGTACTCGCAAAAGACTGATTCCGCGGAAAGAATGATCGAAACAAGTGTGGTCTGCTCATGCTCGTCATAATAAGTTGGCTATATATAAATCAGTAACTTATGAGGGAACATTCGGGCCTAGACATGTCACAAAACTTCGCGTCACAATCGATTCTACCGCACTGCATCGTATTACACCGAATTGCATCCAGGTATCGAACATTGTCGAAATATTCGCGTCTTTGGTATAGTTCGGTACGGAGCGGTACATTTGATTGGGACACACGTACTTTTAGGACATGTCACGCCCCGAATGTGCCCTGAGACTAGCTCAACTAGCTCTGACATGAGGTTTGTACATGTGCAAGTCCATGCACACAGGAGCCCATAAGCATGCATCACACCTTCAAAAGGTAACAGAGAGGCTCCATCACAAGAAGGGGACACGTAGGGAAGGGACGAAGGGTGGATGGGAAGGTAAAAAGAGCCCATCACAAGAAAAAGGGGAACACGAACGATAGGGAAGAATATAAGGGTGGGGAGGGGATGATATGATCGACAAGTCAGTCAAGAATATGTGAGGGAGGAAAAAGGGGAGGAAGTGGGGAAGGGTGGGGAGGAATGAACCATGAGAGAAAATGAGAGGAGGAGATGCGAGAAAAGGTATTGAAAAGATAAGGGAGAGGAGAAACACGGCAAGGGATACAGGAATCGGAAGAGAATGAGGTCGAAGGGGGGGAAGGGGATAAGGTAAGCGCCTGGAAGGAAAGTGGAGGTTAGGAGAAGATGGGAATTCGGGAATAAGGAGGGAGGGAGGGGGGGGGGGGGGGGGGGGGGGGGGGGGGGGGGGGGGGGGGGGGGGAAGAGAAGGGCAGGGTACGTAAGATAGCGGATGGGGGGAGAGGGGAGCGGAGGGGGAGGCAGGAGAATATAGCATGGGGGAGGTGTCAGTGCAGTAGGGGGGGGGGGGGGGGGGGGGGTAGGTTGGGTGGGGGGAGGGGGGTGGGGAAGAGGAAAGGGGGAAGGGGGGAGGAGATTGGGGCAGGAAATGGACGTGGGATGCAAGGGAAACGCACTCTTTCTTTCCAGCCATCTCTTTGTTTGTAGAACAGCAATCCGGGATATGCTGGTGATACTAACTGTGCGAACGAGACTGTATAGAAAAGAAAAAAAAGTATTATTGTTCAACCTAGTATAATCCAGCGTACACTGCAAATGAGCATGTCACGAAATTGTAACCCTACCTCTTTACTCGTACGGGATCTGCATGTACGCCGCATCTGAAATAAACGGCACGTCAGCATACGTCCCGCGAATCGCGCACCAGATGCACTCGAGCACGATAAAGATAAACGCGACCGCAATAGCGAGCCAAAAGTGCGCGCCGATCTTCCCCCAGTACACCGACTTGGGAATCCAATCATTCAGCGTCCCGACAACCTGAAGGATAATCTCCAGAAGCATCCCGGTAACCACGTGGAACCGCAGGAAATGCGGCCAGCGGTTGTTCCTGACAACCCCAAGGTACGCTCCGAAGAAGTAAGCCAGCATGAACCAGGAGGGGAGCAGACCCAGCAGCATCAGGAACGGCTGGCACAGCTGCTCGTAAGTGAAGAGGAAATGGAAGAGCGATTGAGCCGTTTCGCTGTAGATCCACGCCTCGCAGAGCGGCAGCAGGTACGGAACGACGGCTGCGATTCGCCAGTACCACGCGGGCCGCGTCTGCATCGGCGGAAAGCCCTTGAACGCGGGGACGTCGCTGTCGCCATCCGCAGCTCTCACGGGGGAGACGCGCCGGCGGGGTACGGAAGGGGAGACGGCGGAGGGGGAGGCCTTGCGCAAGCGGAGGGAGTCCTGCTGGCCTAGGAAGGCGGAGGACGGCGCGGAGGGGGAAGCGGCGGAAGCGCGGAACGCGGGGTTGCGGGGGAAACTAGCCGTTGGTGCAACTGCCTGGCGCTGCGCTCTACGTTGACACGTGGCCGAGAAGCTGATCTGCTGTGCTCCTGCCTGAGCGGATAGAACACTGCGGATAGTAGCCATGACGGAATGCGTCAACTAGTAATGCGGTCTAGGCAGGTAATTCTGAAGATTAGAAACCCTCGCTTAGATGTAAACACACGCGCGACGGATGTCGTACCGCGCGGAACGAGAGACCCGTCGCGACTTTCTCCCCGACTCGGACTTCCCAAAGACTGAACGTCAGTTATCAGGTTCTAAACCCCTCACGCTAATATAGGAACCAGAACCAATTTCTGAAGCCGCGAAGCAACACGTCGCAAGAGTAACAAACGGTTGGGAACGGTGGTTGCTCACGAATGGTGTGTTTCGATTGGAAACTGGGTAAATTGAGGTGAGAGACTTGCTTGGAGAAGAAATTTCCAAGGGATGACAAGGACGTAAATGTGATACTATCGGGGAAATTGACGAGTGTGCAAAGTGATGAGGGCATCTTCGATAGCGGGATTGGGTGCACGCTATCCAAAAGGTCGGAAGGCCCATCCACGTGGCGTGGAGACAGACGTCACAGCTGATGATGCGGACATGACAAAAATGATGAGTAACACTACTACACTGCACAATAACCAACCTTTCACAGAAATTAAAGAGTTTATATTCTTCACGTGCAAGGATAGTCTATTGCTGACATTTGAAGAGAAACGTCACTAATTACACTATCTTTTGCAGACGCAAAACTTCTGTCAAGCAAGAGACTATATCTTCGATGTGGAATCTATGCTCGCCGGCGTACATTTGGTTTGCGGACCTCGTTCTTTCCACGAGCATCTCCACTGGAGCCCCCCCAACCCCCAGCAGCACCTGGTGCTGCTGAGCTGTCGCCACCAGCTGAACCAGGTGTCGTACTCCCACTGGATGCCACTCCTGCAGCCAACTGCTGCAGCCTGAAACAGTTCAGCACACATAGGGAAATGCATGCCAATAAGGACCAAAGCTTACTTCGAGCATGGTTTCAAGTGCCAAAAAATGGATGGAATTGCCAACAGTAGAGGAGCCTCAAAAGGCAGATCAAAGGCAATCAACGATGCTCTTAAGGCGCTTCAAGAGGCATCAGTGGTGACTCGTAAGCTACTTACTTGGGCAGGGATGCAATAACCGAGATGACAGCAATTGCAAGCAGCACCGGGAGAAGGGGGGTTGGAGCAAGGTCCTGGTTTGGCAGCAGGAAGGTGGGAACAGAGAGAAGCTTTTGGTACAACTCAAACATACTTCCAGAGCCGCCTCTAAAGAAGCGATTCAGAAAAAGCAACGAAGAAGGAAACAAGACCTGGGTGCCATGATTTAACATGGCGGCAGTTGAGAAGGGGATGACAGGGACAGGAATGTGCAGGGAAGTGAGTGTCGGCTGAATGATTCTGGCACGGGAATAGTGCGTGAGGAGAGTAAATACGGACACAAAAACCAGGATAGTAAACATACTATTGTAATCCATAATAATCTAGTATTTCATTGAGAGCAAAGGCTCACCTCATTTGATCTTCGCTCTTCAGCTCGGAAACGCAGTGTCCCCCCATGCGCGGTTACCGCCTCCCTCACATCCACCTCCCTGCCCTCGCTCTCAAACACGTGCGATTTTCCGGGCAGCCCGAGACGAAGTTTTACGAGGTACACGCCCCTGGGCAGGTCGCGAAACTCGAAGAATCGCGAGAGCGGGACGGAGATGGAGCGAATGGGAGTGGAAGAGAAGACAGGGAGAGTGGAAGCTTCCTCGGAGCTTCCATCTGCTTCTGCTGCTGCTGCCGCCGCTGCACCAGTCCCCTCGTTATTGTCACTTGCAGGTACAGTCACGCCGGGGAAGAGATCGACGTAGAGGTTTGGCAACCACTTGGCTATGTCTCTGCCGCTCACTGCCCCCGTGATAGTCACACCCGGAGGCGAGTTGAAGACCACAAAGTTGACGTTCGGGACGTCTCCTGTGACTGTCTGGAGTTGTGATTGCAGCGAGGAGTGTAAGACAGGGAGGAAAGAGAAGACGGAAAACAGGAAAGTAGTTTATTCAGAATAGAATATACAGTATGCAGTGTGATTGCATAGGGTGTGATACACAGTAACACGGGCTCCCTAGGCTCCTGCAAGGCGCGAGTGAGAGAGAGAGCCGCCGAAGAAAAGACAGAAGAGTTGACTTTCGAGTCAACTCAAAAGTTCATGGCTCCTGTCTGGGGCTCGATTGGGCTCCCTAGGCTCCTGCAAGGCACGAGTGAGAGAGAGAGCCGCCGAAGAAAAGACACAAGGGAGGAGTGCAAGAAAGGGAGTGCCACTGCTACCTCCACCGCATCAGCCCCTCCCGGCCACATGCCCCTCAGCCTGGATGCTCCAATAGAAATGTGTGGAAGAGAGAGTAAAAAGACCATACCAGCCTGGATGATTCACTAGAGGAGTGTGGAAGAGAGAGTGATAGGACCATACCAGCAGCGCCTGGTTCGGTGATGCACGTTAGAATCGGGGCAGCGAGGCCGCGTCCTTAGCAGCACTGGCCCTCACTGCCACCTCCGCCAGATAAGACCCTCCCAGGCCCCAGCCCCAGCCCCCCTGAACGCTGCACTAGAGGAGTGTGGGAGAGAGTGAGTGGCGTACCAGCACAGCCTGGTTCGGTGATGCGCGCTCGAATCGGGGCAGCGAGGCCGCGTCCTTAGCAGCACTGGCCCTCACTGCCACCTCCACCAGATAAACCCCTCCCGGTCGCAGCCCCCTCAGCCTGTACTCCCCATCCTCGTTAGTGACTGCCATCTCGTAGTGAGATGACTGCTGTGAACCGCCTCCCCCAGGTGCCACCTCCCTCGCCTCCACCTGCACGCCTGCCTCTGGCGCTCCTGACAGGGAATGGACTGACCCCAGCACACTGGAACGAGAGAGGGGAGAAAGCACAGGGAATGGAGGAGAGGAGAGGAATGAAATGAGAAACACGGATCAAACATCCTGCAGATACCACCTCCCTTCCCTCCACCTGCACGCCTGCCTCTGGTGCTCCTGACAGGGAGTGCACTGACCCCAGCACACTGCAGCGAGAGAAAAGGTGGGAATTGGGGATGGCAGCGGGGAGAGAGAGGAGAAAGCATTCTTGAAAAAAAAAAAAAAAAAAAGAGGCACTAATTTCAAGCAGAATCCATGTAAAAGATAACCGACATTCAGCTGAGTCAAAAACATCCGACATTCTACCTGAAACTCACCTGAAGGCAACCCGTTTCGCAGTAAATGCCACGTCCACCTCCTGCCCGGACTGCAAATTGATCGGGCGGGCAGCCGGCGAAAATTCATACTCCTTCAACACTGGCCGCAGGTAGTAGCTGCCCGGAAACAAACCCTCGAACGCGAAAACATTCTGCCCGGGCGATGTCGCCTCGTTGCGCCTGAAGCTGGCGTCTCCGGTGAGAGAGAGAAGGACAGATGGCAGCGGCTCATTGGCCGTGGAAGTTTCTGCTGATGTGGCAATTCTGACGGCGATTGAAGCGAGCTTTTGTGCTTCAAACGAGTTGCCTCCTAGCGCCTTGAAATCGTAGCCCGTCTGGTTGGGAGAGAAAGAAGGGTGGTCGGTTGGAAGAGGAGGGGGTTTGGTGAAGGAAATCTGTCGACAGAATCTTACAGGACCTAAAGAAAGAAAGACAGAAATGAAGAAAGAAAGGCCACAATGTGTTGGCATGAGGGGGAGGAAATGCTACAAGGGAACCAAACCAGCGATGCTAGTTTTAACACCATCTGAAGCTCCAAATGGTAAGTAGCGTCGTCGTTCAAAGCCCCCACCACAAACACCTCGCCTTTCACCGACTTGACACAGAACAAGCAGCACCGCTAAGTGAAAAGAACCGCACTCCACACCTTGTGTAGTGGATCTTCACCTTTTGCAGCTCCACGTGGTAAGTGGCATCGTCGTTCAGCGGACCAACCACAAACATCTCCCCTTCCACCCCTCCATGCTGCCTCCTCTCCACACTCCCCTCCGCACTCCCCTCCCCTTCCACCCCCCTCACTCGCCCCACAGTCTCAGCCCACATCATCACCTGCCCCTTCTGCCACCCTGCATTTGCACTGTCAGTGTCAGCAACCACTGACACGTTGATACGTGGCAGAGGGGGGAACAGCCAGCCTGTGAGGTAGAGGCCGGGGCGAGCCTCAACGGGAGGCAGGGGAGGGGGGCACTGCAGGGGCGTCACTTGCACCTGGTGGGTATGGGGTTGAGGTATTTGAAAGGGAGAGGAGGGGGGTTGGGGTCGATAAAGGGGAAGAGCCAGCCTGTGAGGTAGAGAGTGGGGCGGGCGTCGACTGGAGGGAGGGGAGGGGGGCACCCCAGGGGCGCCACTTGCACCTGGTGGGGATGGGAAATGAGAGACACGAAGGCGTGGCACTGGTTTGGGTTATAATAAACAAACTGAAGGAAGAGAGAGGTAAGGAGAAGGGGAGGGAGGCTGCTGTGGGTAGGGAAGACTACCGAGCCATCTGCCCCTGGCCTCCCCTAGAACTACCAGCACACCACCCAGTAAACTGACACACACACACCCCCACCCACGCACCTTGAGCGAGCGCGGGTAGACGAGCAGGCGCTGGGAGGAGGGAAGATCGGAGAGGCATCTGCCCCTGACCTCCCCTGGTAGGAACTACCAGCACACCACCCAGTACACTCACCCACCCACCCCCACCCACCCACCCACCTTGAGCGAGCGCGGGTAGAAGAGCAGGCGCTTGGGAGGAGGGAAGACCGGTGAGGCATCTGCCCCTGAGGGTGGCTGCTCTCGCTCCAATGTGGAGATGTGCGCACTGAAAAGAGAGTGAGGGGAGGAACAAGGGAGGAGGGAGGAACCATCTGAGTGTTTTTTGATATATATTTATATATATATAGATATATATAATATATATATATTTTTTTTTTCAAAAAACGCTCACTGAAAAGAGGGTGAGGGGGGGAACAAGAGAGGAGGGAGGAACCATCTGCACCGCCGGACCATCTGCCCCTGAGTGGCTGCTCCCGCTCCAACGTGGAGATGTGCGCACTGAAGGGTGGGGGGGGGGGTATAGGGAGGGGAAATTGGGGGAGTTAAATGAGGGTGAGAAAGAAAGGGGTTCTTTGACCCCCATCTAGAGCCATCCGCCCCTGGCGGTGGCTGCTCTCGCTCCAAAGTTGAGATGTGTGCGCTGAAGGGGGGGGGGGGGGGAGGGGAAAGCGAAGGGCAAAGGGAGAGAAGGGCGATATTAATACAGCGGCCCGTTCGAGAAGGGTGAGAGAGTGTTTCTTCACCCACCCCTCAACGCAGCATAGATTAGCGAAGAATAGAACGAGCTAAGTCTGGAAATCTGGGTCGAATCTATCCTTTTCTTCACCCAGATCTGGAGATCTGACAAGAGAGTGTTTCTTCACCCACCACACCCCTCAACGCAGCTGCTGCCTGCTCTTGCTCAAACATCGTGATTTGCGGACTTAAAGGGAGGGACTGGTTGGAGAAAGTGAGGGAGGGAGAACGAGGGGAGAGTGGAAAGGGAGTTTGTCCCCAGGAGACACTCACCCTCGGGCGATCAGCGTTGTCAGCGCCTGGGCCTCTCACTCTAACATATCCGACAGAATTCCCAACGCCCTCAGGAATAATCCTCACTTGTCCTCAAGAAAACATTCACCCTCGAGCCATCAGTGCTTGCAGCGCCTGGGCCTCTGACTCAAACATATCCTGCAGCAGCTTGCTGGGCCAGCCCACCTCACCTCACACCAGCCCTGACACTCACCCTCTGGCGATCAGTGCTTGCAGCGCCTGGGCCTCTGACTCAAACATATCCTGCAGCATCTTGTTCGCCCACTCAAGGTCATACACGCCTTCATCCTCACCCTCCCCTCCCTCTCCCTCACTCTCTCCATCTCCCCCACCCTCACTCTCTCCCTCTCCCCCACCCTCACTCTCTCCCTCTCCCTCACCCTCATTCTCTCCCTCACCCTCACCCTCGCTCGCACCCTCCCTGTCCTCCTCCTCAACTCTTGTCAAATCCAATTCTCCGCTTTCCAGTTCCTTCTCTCCCTCTCCCTCTTCCCCTCCACCCTCCCCAAACCTCTTTCCTCCCTCCACTTCCTCCTGCTCTCCCTCTTTTGTCCCTTTCCCAGCAAGACGAAGGATGTGAGTCACGTAATCCACGTCGATATCCACCGCGCCGGCCGAGTAAAGCCGGCTATACTCCTCGTCTAGAGAGTCGATTTCCTTGTCTGTCAGGCCGTGTGCGCGAAGCATGTCTTTGTCTGCTGCTGCCTCCCTGCACGAATTTTGGCAGGTAGGCAGGCAGACAGACAAAGACAGAGGCTTGTTGATTAGTGGGGTAATTAAGACTCCACAATGGGTTTTGTTTGTTTGGGACCGAAATGTGTCTATGTGTGCTGCTGCAGCCCTGCACAGATTTTAGCAGACAAGCGGCCAGACAGATAGAGACAGAGGCTTGTCAATTTTTGTTGTCTTTAATTAACCCAACCACCAGCACATCTTATAATTATTCCACAATTGCTTCTTTGGACAGACAAAAACAACGCTATAGAAAGACTATTATAGCGAAACTAACTGTTACAGACTTCAAGTCTCAAGGTTGTGTGAATATCGGAACATTACTTCACGTTTCCACTTTAATGAATGGTGAAACACAGCACTTGAAGAATGATTTGATCGACGCATTGAAGTTTGTGGTTGCAAAATGGTCATATCAGGTAAGTGGTTCCATCACATACTGTTTTGAAACCACAAACTTTAAGACGTCGATCAAACCATTCTTCAAGTACCGTGTTTCACCATTTATGGAAGGGAATACGTGAGGTAGTGGTCTGATACTCACACACACTCTTGAGGCTTAAAGTTTGTATCTCTGTCAATATTGTCTTTTTGTGATGGTTTTATTTCTTTCTTTCATTCATTATTTTCATTCCTGAACGGGTTTTGCTTTTGTGAGAACAAAAGGTGTCTGTGTGTGTTGCTGGTGACCTGCACGGGGAGAGTAACCACCAAGAAGGAACCCACCTTTTGAGGGCATCAGCAACATCATCCAGGGTCGATCCATCATCTCCCACCCCGCCATCATGGTACCACCCCAGCAGCAGCTCTCCCCCTCCCTCCACCCAATGCTCTTGCGCATACACCACAACCGGGTGTGTGGCATTGGGGGCAGAGACGAGGGAGAGGTGCGCGTGGGAGAGCAGGGAGCCGTTGGTGGGGCTGAAGAGGCGGGCAGAGGCGTGGGGGGCGATAGAGGCAGCAGCTGGGAAGAGAGACGCATTTACTTGGACCAGCCCGGAGACCCTGTAGGCTGTTGGGTGCAGACGAATCACCTGCGAAAAAAGGGGGAGGGGAGGAAAAGAGGGGCGTGAAGAGGCGGGCAGAGGCGTGGGGGGCGATGGAGGTGGCTGCAGAGGGGAAGAGAGAAGTGTTCACTCGGACCAGTCCCGAGAGCTTGTCGGCTTTTGGGAGCAGACGAATCACCTGGGAGGAGGGGAGGAGGGGGAGTCAAGCGAAGAGGAATGAGGGAGAGCAGGGAGGCATACAATGAGGGAGAGAAGGGAGGCATACAATGAGGGAGAGCAGGGAGGCATACAATGAGGGAGAGCAGGGAGGCATACACGGCACACGATCATTATCTGACCAGAGCCGTGATCACTGCTCTAGTTTGAAAGCACTTGATAATAGAGCGTTTTTTAGACGTCTCTCGAAGTCAACTTGAATGTGGGAGAGCAGGGAGGGAGGTGCAAAGGGCACATTCAAGTTGACATTTTCATGATCGTGTCAGGGCACTCAAGATCATGAGGTGTAAAGGGCACATTCAAGTTGACATTATCATGATCGTGTCAGGGCACTCAAGATCATGAGGTGTAAAGGGCACATTCAAGTTGACATTATCATGATCGTGTCAGGGCACTCAAGATCATGAGGTGTAAAGGGCACATTCAAGTTGACATTATCATGATCGTGTCAGGGCACTCAAGATCATGAGGTGTAAAGGGCACATTCAAGTTGACATTATCATGATCATGTCAGGGCACTCAAGATCGTGAGGTGTAAAGGGCACATTCAGGTTGACATTATCATGATCGTGTCAGGGCACTCAAGATCATGAGGTGTAAAGGGCACATTCAAGTTGACATTATCATGATCGTGTCAGGGCACTCAAGATCATGAGGTGTAAAGGGCACATTCAAGTTGACATTATCATGATCATGTCAGGGCACTCAAGATCGTGAGGTGTAAAGGGCACATTCAAGTTGACATTATCATGATCGTGTCAGGGCACTCAAGATCATGAGGTGTAAAGGGCACATTCAAGTTGACATTATCATGATCGTGTCAGGGCACTCAAGATCATGAGGTGTAAAGGGCACATTCAAGTTGACATTATCATGATCGTGTCAGGGCACTCAAGATCATGAGGTGTAAAGGGCACATTCAAGTTGACATTATCATGATCGTGTCAGGGCACTCAAGATCATGAGGTGTAAAGGGCACATTCAAGTTGACATTATCATGATCGTGTCAGGGCACTCAAGATCATGAGGTGTAAAGGGCACATTCAAGTTGACATTATCATGATCGTGTCAGGGCACTCAAGATCATGAGGTGTAAAGGGCACACGATCATTATCTGACATATTCTCAGCGAGCTGCAAACGATCGTGAACAATCATTGACATTGACATATACTGCTCTAGCTTGAAAGCATGGCTGGACAATGACAGGAAGAGTAGGCTTTGAAGTGAACAATCCCTGACATTGACATATACTCAGAGAACTCTAGATTAGCTCCGTCTCACCTTAACCTCCTCCGATGGAAATACACCCCCTCCTCCCCGTACACGGCGCACGAGTCAGGGAAGCAGAGGCTGTAGCTGCCGGCTATATAACACGAGTCAGGGAAGCAGAGGCTGTAGCTGCCGGCTATATAACACGAGTCAGGGAAGCAGAGGCTGTAGCTGCCGGCTATATAACACGAGTCAGGGAAGCAGAGGCTGTAGCTGCCGGCTATATAACACGAGTCAGGGAAGCAGAGGCTGTAGCTGCCGGCTATATAACACGAGTCAGGGAAGCAGAGGCTGTAGCTGCCGGCTATATAACACGAGTCAGGGAAGCAGAGGCTGTAGCTGCCGGCTATATAACACGAGTCAGGGAAGCAGAGGCTATAGCTGCCGGCCGGCTATATAACACGAGTCAGGGAAGCAGAGGCTTTAGCTGCCGGCCGGCTACACGAGTCAGGGAAGCAGAGGCTGTAGATGCCGGCCGGCTATATAACACGACTCAGGGAAGCAGAGGCTGTAGCTGCCCGCCGGCTATATAACACGAGTCAGGGAGTCAGGCCTTACATGTGTTACATGGGCTCAGTCGCTCTCACCTTCAACTCCTGCGTGTGGTAGTAGACGCCCTCCCCCTCCCCGTACATGGCGCACGAGTCAGGGAAGCGCAGGCTGTAGCTGCCACTGGCAGCCACACACACGTGCTGCAGCCCCTTCTGCAGAAATTCAGGAATTACCGGGTCGAACAGGCACAGGCACAGGCAGGGAGATGCGGGAGGAATCATTCGAGGCGCACAGGGGTTGTGGGGAAGCGCAGGCTGTAGCTGCCACTGGCAGCCACACACACGTGCTGCCGCCCCTTCTGCACAACCAGAGAGAGGGCGCACAAGGGGGTATAGGAGGCGACTGTCAGAGATGCACTGGCATTGAGGGGGGGAGAGCAGGCTGCAGCTGCCACAGGCCACCACACACACACACGTGCTGCCGCCCCTTCTGCACAACCAGAGAGAGGGCGCACAAGGGGGTATAGGAGGCGACTGTCAGAGATGCACTGGCATTGAGGGGGGGAGAGCAGGCTGTAGCTGCCACAGGCCACCACACACACACACACACACACACACGCACACACACACACACACACACACACACACGCGTGCTGCAGCCCCTTCTTCTCCACCCTCCACCCACTACCCACCCTAACCTGGCCAACGCTCAACCATGGGGTACCGATTTGCACACCTTGAGTTTCAAAGCAGGGAGCACCGTCTCCCCATGCACCATGCTGACTGTATCCTCCATAGAAGCCTCAATCTCCACCCTCCACCCGCTCTGCTCTCACCTCAGGAGTCAGCCGCACTGCCCCACGCACCTTAAGTTCCACAGGTGGTAGATCCGTTTCCCCATGCACCATGCTGACTGTGTTCTCCATCGCAGCCTCCATCTGCATTGACCGAACCCAACCGCTTTGCACACCTTAAGTTTCACAGGTGGTAGGGCCGTTTCCCCGTGCACCATGCTGACTGTGTCCTCCATCGCTGCATCGATCTCCACCCTCCATCCGCTCTGCTCCAGTGCCACGCCCTCCACGGACGAATCGGAGACCGCCACGTCAGCGGACTGCGCCTTCCAGCACCACTCGTCGCCCGCCATGTCACTCCCCTGGATCACTTGCTTCGATGCCTGGTGGGTAGGTGGGAAGGGGTTGTATGTGCATAGGGGGGTTTGGGGGTTTTGGGAGGAGTGGGGTGGGGTACCAAAGCCCACTCGTCACCCGCAATGTCACTCCCCTGGATCACCAGCTTGAATGCCTGGTGTAGCAAGAAGGGCGGGTGGAGGGAAAGGGTGGGGGCGGGGGAAGGCAAAGGGGGTTGGGGGGGTGTGGGTGGGAAGTTGGGAGATAAACAGCAGACAGTGGGCTATACGGCAGGTAGGACCTAGTATCAACATTCATGTCACATATATTGGTGTTACTTTTGAGAACATTTATGGACCAAGTCTCAAAAGTAACATCAACATTCATGTGACAGCAGGGATTACATTCTTCCGATGGTGACTTTTGAGACGTCTCAAAAGTCATTCATGTGACATTTTTTGAGTCGACTCAAACGCAGGGATTACATTCTTCCGATGGTGAAAGAGGCAGCGGGGGAGGGACGGTCCGACAAATCTTACCAGTACGGATAAGTAAAGAGATGGAGAGCGGGAAACGAGGGCAGCAGGAAGTTGCAACGAGCAAGCATACACACACGCTTTCCGAATACACTCCAGAAGAAAAAACGAAAATCAATATAAGATGTCTTGACACTCCAAGGCCGCAATCTCTCACCTCGATTCTGTATATCCCAGGAACCACTTTCTTGAACGAAAACGACCCATCTTTTTCCTTCAAGAAGAGCGATCGAGGCGAGGCACCCGCAGGAGCAGCAGCATCACCAGAAGACTCAGCAGACCCAGTCAACGGTCCGATGCGCGTGAGGGAGACACGGACGGAGCGATCACAGCCGTCGATGCAGATCACCCGGCCAGAAACGGAGAGATGCGATTGGTTGAAGGAGACCCCTGTGACAGGCGCGGATGTGACTGTAATGGTGGCGAGGGGAGGCGCAAAGGCCAGTCCTGCTGCTGCCTCGGCTGGTAGCACGTGTGGGGCGAGCTGGTAGGTGCCTGGGGGACCTGGAGGAGAGAAAAGGGAGCAAGGAATGCAAGGAAACGAGATGCAGTCACGACATGGTGGCCAGGGGAAGGTGGGGATGCCAGCCCGGCTGCTGCCTCGGCTGATAGGACGTGTGGGGCGAGCTGGTAGGTGCCTGGTGGGACCTGGAGGGAGGGAAGATAGGAAGGGGATCAACGAGTGGAAGGAAAAGGGGAGCGATTGCAAAATGGTGGCGAGGGCAGAGGAGAAGGCCAGCCCTGCTGCTGCCTCGGCCGGTAGCACGCGTGGGGCGAGCTGATAGGTGCCTGGGGGAACCTGGAGGAAGGGAAGGATAGCAAGGAGCAGAAGACCATGAATGATTGCAAGACGGTGCGAGAATGATGACACACAGGTCGTAGTGGGAGGCGTTGAGGTCGTTTTTGAGGCGCCTCAAAAACGACCTTATTGAGGCGCCTCAAAAACCACCTAAAAAACGACCTTTTGAGGCGCCTCAAAGAAGACCATGAATGATTGCAAGACGGTGCAAGAATGATGACACACAGGTCGTAGAGGGAGGCGCGGAGAGGGGGGAGGAGGGCGGCGGAGGGGACGATTCACGAATCACAACCATTGAGACACTCACCGTAAAGCACACCCTCCCATCCGCATACGTCTTCTTGGCCTGAGGCGACACATCCTCCCCTCCCCGTCCAGTCAGCGCCACCTGTCTGCCGCCCGCTTGGATTGGAACGCGTTACAGCAGCTACAACTCACCATGAAGCACACTCTCCCATCCGCATCCGTCTTCTTGGCTTGTGGTGCCACCTCCTCCCCTCCGCCGCCCGTCAGAGCCACCTGCCTGCCGCCCGCTTGGAACGCCGACCCCTCGTCCAATAGCGTCGCGACACACAGCTCGTAGAGCGAGGCGCGGAGAGGGGGGAGGAGGGAGGCGGAGGGGAGGATGGAGAGCGCGGGGAGGGGCGTGAAGGCGTAGCGAGTCTTCGTGGCGGATAGGGCGTACTGGCCCGATGTTATCTGGTGCAGGCTGTACTGACCCTGCTTTAGGAGAGGGAGAGGACGGAGGAGGGGAGGGAGGGAGGGGAGACAGGACGGAGTAAGCAAGGGAAGCACAGGATGATACCAGTGCTTAGATACGCCATAGCTACGGCGTAGCTTAGATGGGAATAGGTCTATTTTTTACTCAACTCAAAAATAGACTCATTTTGTAGTCGACTAAAAAATAGACTCATTTTTTAGTCGACTAAAAAATAGACTCATTTTTTAGTCGACTCAAAAATAGACTCATTTCTTAGTCGACTCAAAAATAGACTCATCACACACGGGACGGAGTAAGCAAGGGAAGCACTGGATAGTAGGTAGCTATGGCGTAGCTTAGATAGGGATAGGACGTACCGGCACAATGCTATCTCTGAGGTGACTTTTGAGTCGACTGAAAAGTCACCAATGCACGGGGTCTAGATGCGTCGACGCACATCCAGGCGCGCAGCGCAGCGGGAAAGGTAGCAACCCCGCTGCCTCCATCCAGTGGTAAGGAACGGGGTCTAGATGCTTCTGGATGGCGTACTGGCCCGATGCTATCGCATGGCTGGCTGTTGAGGATCACCACCCTGCTTGCAGCACCGAGCCACTACACCCACTCATATTGCTTTTCACCACACTGCACCTGAGCATCTGTTACGGCGCGTGGCTGGCCGTTGAGGATCACCACCCTGCTTTCAGCACCGAGCCACTACAACAACTAATATTGCTTTTCACCACACTGCACCTGAGCATCTGTTACGGCACGTGGCTGGCCGTTGAGGATCACCAACCTGCTTGCAGCACCGAGCCACTACACCCACTCATATTGCTTTTCACCACACTGCACCTGAGCATCTGTTACGGCGCGTGGCTGGCCGTTGAGCAGCACGGTTGCTCCCTCCACGCCCTCCCCTGCGCTGTCCTCCACGCGTCCAGATACAGAGAACCCGCGGACCTGAAGGAGAGAGAGGAGGGCGAGAGAGAGGGGAGAGAGGACGAGGGTTACTGGGAAGTTACAGTTCCTCTCTGTTGCTCCCTCCACGCCCTCCCCTGCGCTGTCCTTCACGCGTCCAGATACAGAGAACCTGCGGACCTGAGGGAGAGAGAGGAGGGCGAGAAGATGTAGGGAGAGTTAGAGGGTTATTGGGAAGTTGCTCCCTCACCTGGAGAGGTGCTAATTCAAAGGGTCTCACCTGGAAAGGTGCTACCAAGGGGGAGGTGTTACCTGGAACGGCTCTGCTGTGGCAGCATCAGCATGCCCCACCGCCACTGCCATCTCAAACACCGTCGCCTCGAGTGGCCCAAGCAGGTGTCGCCTCAATGCTTGCTACTTGGATGCGGGAGGTTTACTTGGATGGTCGAGGTGTTATTTTGAATGGGTGCTACCTGGATGTGGGAGGTGTTACCTGGAACGGCTCTGCTGTAGCAGCATCAGCATGCCCCACCACCACTGCCATCTCCTTGGGTGCCATCTCAAACACCGTCGCCTGGAGAGGTGCTAATTGAAGCCGGGATCTCATGTAGTTTGGCCGTTTTGCACTTAGTGAATTGCGCTAGGCTCTGATTGGTAGAAGAGGTAGAGTAGTTGACGAGAGCTGAAACGAGGGATGCGAAGCAAACAAAAATCGCAGGCTGCTTCCGAACCACCTAGGCACGGAAATCTGGTTGGGTTCCGAAGCTCATTTCCCAGCGATGTGTCTGAGCTGCTGAAAAATCTCATATACAGCAAAATTTGTTTTGCAATTGTGATTCACGGGCAAAACGGAAATTTGTCGCACACTGAACCTCCAACCCAACCACTCGATTTCGCCTACACAAACAGGGTGACTCGAGCTGCAAGTGTTTTGCAATTGAAGCCAATTTCACTTACTTGAGATCCTGGCTTTAAAAGGGTCTCACCTGGAAAGGTGCTACCAAGGGGGAGGTGTTACCTGGAACGGCTCTGCTGTAGCGGCATCTGCATGCCCCACCGCCACTGCCATCTCCTTGGGAGCCATCTCAAACACCGTCGCCTCTCCCTTGTACTGCGGGACCAATGAGAACGCGCCACATGGCAGCTCGCGGAAGGAGAACCGCCCGTCCGCCCCGGAGGTCGTGTGGCAGAGAGGAGTTTTTCCGGGCAGCGGAGAGCTGCCCGGGCCGGCCGGGCAGGTGGGAATTTTCTGGACGGAGTCGGAGAAAAGGAAGATCTGCACCCCAGGGACTGGGTTTTTCTGTTCGTTAGGGGGAGGGAGGAATGGGGAAACGGGAAGGGTGCAGTGGAGCTGAGTTGGTCGAGATGGGTTTGGAGAAGAAGAGGAATATCTGCACTCCTGGGACTGGATTGTTCTGTTGCACAGGAAGAAGGGAGGGGAAGAGGGGGAGGGGATGGAGCGGGAGGACGTGAGCCGGGGAAGGGGGAAGAGAACCACACAGAGAGGAAGCACGCAGAGAGGAAGCACACAGAGAGGAAGCACACAGAGAGGAAGCACACAGAGCACGAACGCACACATGCAGGGAAGCCCTACCACCCACCCACACAACCGCACACACCCGCTCATCCGAGCTTCCACGGAGCCTGAGAGGCTGTAGCCCGCCACTTAAAAGAGATCTGGCGCGACTTGGTACTTGCTCCACGCGTGCGCCTTGGTCCGCGCGCCCGCGCGCCTTGGTCCACTTGCGCGCCTTGGTTCGCGCGCGCGCGCGCCTTGGTCCGCGTGCCCGCGTTGGTCCAGGCGTGCGCGTTGGTCCAGGCGCGCGCGTCAGTCCAGGCACGCGCGTTGGTCCAGGCGCGCGCGTTGGTCCAGGCGCGCGCCTTGGTCCAGGCGCGCGCCTTGGTCCAGGCGCGCGCCTTGGTCCAGGCGCGCGCGTTAGACCAGGCGCGCGCGCTGGTCCGGGCGCGCGCGTTGGTCCGGGGGGGCGCGTTCGTGCGCGTTGGTCCGGGCGCGCGCGTTCGCGCGCATTGGTCCGGGCGCGCGCGTTGGTCCGGGCGCGCGCGTTGGTCCGGGCGCGCGCGTTGGTCCGGGCGCGCGCGTTGGTCCGGGCGCGCGCTTTGGTCCGGGCGCGCGCGTTGGTCCGGGCGCGCGCGTTGGTCCGGGCGCGCGCGTTGGTCCGGGCGCGCGCGTTGGTCCGGGCGCGCGCGTTGGTCCGGGCGCGCGCGTTGGTCCGGGACGCGCGTTGGTCCGGGCGCGCGCGTTGGTCCGGGCGCGCGCGTTGGTCCGGGCGCGCGCGTTGGTCCGGGCGCGCGCGTTGGTCCGGGGGCGCGCGTTGGTCCGGGCGCCGCGTTGGTCCGGGCGCGCGCGTTGGTCCGGGGCGCGCGCGTTGGTCCGGGACGCGCGTTGGTCCGGGACGCGCGTTGGTCCGGGACGCGCGTTGGTCCGGGACGCCCGTTGGTCCGGGCGCGCGCGTTGGCCCGGGCGCGCGCGTTAGTCCGGGCGCGCGCGTTGGTCCGGGCGCGCGCGTTGGTCCGGGCACGCACGTTGGTCCGGGCGCGCGCGTTGGTCCGGGCGCGCGCGTTGGTCCGGGCGCGGGCGTTGGTCCGGGCGCGGGCGTTGGTCCGGGCGCGCGCGTTGGTCCGGGCGCGCGCGTTGGTCCGGGCGCGCGCGTTGGTCCGGGCGCGCGCGTTGGTGCGGGCGCGCGCGTTGGTCCGGGCGCGCGCGTTGGTCCGGGGCGCGCGCGTTGGTCCGGGACGCGCGTTGGTCCGGGACGCGCGTTGGTCCGGGACGCGCGTTGGTCCGGGACGCGCGTTGGTCCGGGCGCGCGCGTTGGCCCGGGCGCGCGCGTTGGCCCGGGCGCGCGCGTTGGTCCGGGCGCGCGCGTTGGTCCGGGCGCGCGCGTTGGTCCGGGCGCGCGCGTTGGTCGGGGCGCGCGCGTGGGTCGGGGCGCGCCCGTGGGTCGGGGCGCGCGCGCGTCGGTCCGGCGTGCGCGTTGGTCCAGGACGCGCGTTGGTCCGGGACGCGCGTTGGTCCGGGCGCGCGCGTTGGTCCGGGCGCGCGCGTTGGTCCAGGCGCGCGCGTTGGTCCGGGCGCGCGCGTTGGTCCGGGACGCGCGTTGGTCCGGGCGCGCGCGGTGGTCCGGGCGCGCGCGTTGGTCCGGGCGCGCGCGTTGGTCCGGGCGCGCGCGTTGGTCCGGGGCGCGCGTTGGTCCGGGCGCCGCGTTGGTCCGGGCGCGCGCGTTGGTCCGGGGCGCGCGCGTTGGTCCGGGCGCGCGCGTTGGTCCGGGCGCGCGCATTGGTCCGGGCGCGCGCGTTGGTCCGGGCACGCGCGTTGGCGCGTTGGTCCGGGCGCGCGCGTTGGTCCGGGCGCACGCGTTGGTCCGGGCGCGCGCGTTGGTCCGGGCGCGCGCGTTGGTCCGGGCGCGCGCGTTGGTCCGGGCGCGCGCGTTGGTCCGGGCGCGCGCGTTGGTCCGGGCGCGCGCATTGGTCCGGGCGCGCGCGTTGGTCCGGGCACGCGCGTTGGCGCGTTGGTCCGGGCGCGCGCGTTGGTCCGGGCGCACGCGTTGGTCCGGGCGCGCGCGTTGGTCCGGGCGCGCGCGTTGGTCCGGGCGCGCGCGTTGGTCCGGGCGCGCGCGTTGGTCCGGGCGCGCGCGTTGGTCCGGGCGCGCGCGTTGGTCCGGGCGCAGGCGTTGGTCCGGGCGCGGGCGTTGGTCCGGGCGCGCGCGTTGGTCCGGGCGCGCGCGTTGGTGCGGGCGCGCGCGTTGGTGCGGGCGCGCGCGTTGGTCCGGGCGCGCGCGTTGGTCCGGGCGCGCGCGTTGGTCCGGGCGCGCGCGTTGGTCCGGGACGCGCGTTGGTCCGGGACGCGCGTTGGTCCGGGACGCGCGTTGGTCCGGGACGCGCGTTGGTCCGGGATGCGCGTTGGTCCGGGCGCGCGCGTTGGCCCGGGCGCGCGCGTTGGCCCGGGCGCGCGCGTTGGCCCGGGCGCGCGCGTTGGTCCGGGCGCGCGCGTTGGTCGGGGCGCGCGCGTTGGTCGGGGCGGCGCGTGGGTCGGGGCGCGCGCGCGTCGGTCCGGGACGCGCGTTGGTCCGGGCGCGCGCGTTGGTCCGGGCGCGCGCGTTGGTCCGGGCGCGCGCGTTGGTCCGGGCGCGCGCGTTGGTCCGGGGCGCGCGCGTTGGTCCGGGACGCGCGTTGGTCCGGGACGCGCGTTGGTCCGGGCGCGCGCGTTGGTCCGGGCGCGCGCGTTGGCCCGGGCGCGCGCGTTGGTCCGGGCGCGCGCGTTGGTCCGGGCGCGCGCGTTGGTCGGGGCGCGCGCGTTGGTCGGGGCGCGCGCGCGTCGGTCCGGCGCGCGCGTTGGTCCGGGCGCGCGCGTTGGTCCGGGCGCGCGCGTTGGTCCGGGCGCGCGCGTTGGTCCGGGCGCGCGCGTTGGTCCGGGCGCGCGCGTTGGTCCGGGCGCGCGCGTTGGTCCGGGCGCGCGCGTTGGTCCGGGACGCGCGTTGGTCCGGGCGCGCGCGTTGGTCCGGGCGCGCGCGTTGGTCCGGGCGCGCGCGTTGGTCCGGGCGCGCGCGTTGGTCCGGGGGCGCGCGTTGGTCCGGGCGCCGCGTTGGTCCGGGCGCGCGCGTTGGTCCGGGGCGCGCGCGTTGGTCCGGGACGCGCGTTGGTCCGGGACCCGCGTTGGTCCGGGGCGCGCGTTGGTCCGGGACGCGCGTTGGTCCGGGCGCGCGCGTTGGCCCGGGCGCGCGCGTTGGTCCGGGCGCGCGCGTTGGTCCGGGCGCGCGCGTTGGTCCGGGCGCGCACGTTGGTCCGGGCGCGCGCGTTGGTCCGGGCGCGCGCGTTGGTCCGGGCGCGGGCGTTGGTCCGGGCGCGGGCGTTGGTCCGGGCGCGCACGTTGGTCCGGGCGCGCGCGTTGGTCCGGGCGCGCGCGTTGGTCCGGGCGCGCGCGTTGGTGCGGGCGCGCGCGTTGGTCCGGGCGCGCGCGTTGGTCCGGGGCGCGCGCGTTGGTCCGGGACGCGCGTTGGTCCGGGACGCGCGTTGGTCCGGGACGCGCGTTGGTCCGGGACGCGCGTTGGTCCGGGCGCGCGCGTTGGCCCGGGCGCGCGCGTTGGTCCGGGCGCGCGCGTTGGCCCGGGCGCGCGCGTTGGTCCGGGCGCGCGCGTTGGTCGGGGCGCGCGCGTTGGTCGGGGCGCGCGCGTGGGTCGGGGCGCGCGCGCGTCGGTCCGGCGTGCGCGTTGGTCCAGGACGCGCGTTGGTCCGGGACGCGCGTTGGTCCGGGCGCGCGCGTTGGTCCGGGCGCGCGCGTTGGTCCGGGCGCGCGCGTTGGTCCGGGACGCGCGTTGGTCCGGGCGCGCGCGTTGGTCCGGGCGCGCGCGTTGGTCCGGGCGCGCGCGTTGGTCCGGGCGCGCGCGTTGGTCCGGGCGCGCGCGTTGGTCCGGGGGCGCGAGTTGGTCCGGGCGCCGCGTTGGTCCGGGCGCGCGCGTTGGTCCGGGGCGCGCGCGTTGGTCCGGGCGCGCGCGTTGGTCCGGGCGCGCGCATTGGTCCGGGCGCGCGCGTTGGTCCGGGCACGCGCGTTGGCGCGTTGGTCCGGGCGCGCGCGTTGGTCCGGGCGCACGCGTTGGTCCGGGCGCGCGCGTTGGTCCGGGCACGCGCGTTGGTCCGGGCGCGCGCGTTGGTCCGGGCACGCACGTTGGTCCGGGCGCGCGCGTTGGTCCGGGCGCGCGCGTTGGTCCGGGCGCGCGCGTTGGTGCGGGCGCGCGCGTTGGTGCGGGCGCGCGCGTTGGTCCGGGCGCGCGCGTTGGTCCGGGGCGCGCGCATTGGTCCGGGACGCGCGTTGGTCCGGGACGCGCGTTGGTCCGGGACGCGCGTTGGTCCGGGATGCGCGTTGGTCCGGGCGCGCGCGTTGGCCCGGGCGCGCGCGTTGGCCCGGGCGCGCGCGTTGGTCCGGGCGCGCGCGTTGGTCCGGGCGCGCGCGTTGGTCGGGGCGCGCGCGTTGGTCGGGGCGCGCGCGTGGGTCGGGGCGCGCGCGCGTCGGTCCGGCGGCGCGCGCGTCGGTCCAGGACGCGCGTTGGTCCGGGCACGTTGGTCCGGGGCGCGCGCGTTGGTCCGGGCACGCGCGTTGGCGCGTTGGTCCGGGCGCGCGCGTTGGTCCGGGCGCACGCGTTGGTCCGGGCGCGCGCGTTGGTCCGGGCGCGCGCGTTGGTCCGGGCGCGCGCGTTGGTCCGGGCACGCACGTTGGTCCGGGCGCGCGCGTTGGTCCGGGCGCGCGCGTTGGTCCGGGCGCGCGCGTTGGTCCGGGCGCGGGCGTTGGTCCGGGCGCGCACGTTGGTCCGGGCGCGCGCGTTGGTCCGGGCGCGCGCGTTGGTGCGGGCGCGCGCGTTGGTCCGGGCGCGCGCGTTGGTCCGGGGCGCGCGCATTGGTCCGGGACGCGCGTTGGTCCGGGACGCGCGTTGGTCCGGGACGCGCGTTGGTCCGGGATGCGCGTTGGTCCGGGCGCGCGCGTTGGCCCGGGCGCGCGCGTTGGCCCGGGCGCGCGCGTTGGTCCGGGCGCGCGCGTTGGTCCGGGCGCGCGCGTTGGTCGGGGCGCGCGCGTGGGTCGGGGCGCGCGCGCGTCGGTCCGGCGGCGCGCGCGTCGGTCCAGGACGCGCGTTGGTCCGGGACGCGCGTTGGTCCGGGCGCGCGCGTTGGTCCGGGCGCGCGCGTTGGTCCGGGCGCGCGCGTTGGTCCGGGCGCGCGCGTTGGTCCGGGCGCGCGCGTTGGTCCGGGCGCGCGCGTTGGTCCGGGCGCGCGCGTTGGTCCGGGCGCGCGCGTTGGTCCGGGCGCGCGCGTTGGTCCGGGGCGCGCGCGTTGGTCCGGGCGCGCGCGTTGGTTCGGGACGCGCGTTGGTCCGGGACGCGCGTTGGTCCGGGACGCGCGTTGGTCCGGGCGCGCGCGTTGGTCCGGGCGCGCACGTTGGCCCGGGCGCGCGCGTTAGTCCGGGCGCGCGCGTTGGTCCGGGCGCGCGCGTTGGTCGGGGCGCGCGCGTTGGTCCGGGCGCGCGCGTTGGTCGGGGCGCGCGCGTTGGTCGGGGCGCGCGCGTTGGTCGGGGCGCGCGCGCGTCGGTCCGGCGCGCGCGTTGGTCCGGGGCGCGCGTTGGTCCGGGCGCGAGCGTTGGTCCGGGTGCGCGCGTTGGTCCGGGCGCGCGCGTTGGTCCGGGCGCGCGCGTTGGTCCGGGCGCGCGCGTTGGTCCGGGCGCGCTCGTTGGTCCGGGCGCGCGCGTTGGTCCGGGCGCGCGCGTTGGTCCGGGCGCGCGCGTTGGTCCGGGCGCGCGCGTTGGTCCGGGCGCGCGCGCTGGTCCGGGCGCGCGCTGGTCCGGGCGCGCGCGTTGGTCCGGCCGCGCGCGTTGGTTCGGGCGCGCGCGTTGGTCCAGGCGCGCTCGCTGGTCCGGGCGCGCTCGTTGGTCCAGGCGCGCGCGTTGGTCCAGCCGCGCGCGTTGGTCCAGGCGCGCGCGTTGGTCCAGGCGCGCGCTTGGTCGAGGCGTGCGCGCGTTGGTCCAGGCGCGCCCCTTGGTTCAGGCGCACGCGTTGGTCCAGGCACGCGCTTGGTACCCCACGCAACCGCACGTGACAGCCTTCCTGAGCCTCCACGAAGCCTGACAGGCCCGCCACGTGGAAGAGGTCGGGGAGCTCCATGCTGCCCCAAGCATGCATGGACACCCACGCACAACCATGCGAGCAAGTGTGCAGAACCGCACGCAACCGCACACAACCGCTTACCTGTGCTTCCATGGAGCTTGAGAGGCTGTAGCCCGCCACTTGGAAGAGGCCCGGGAGCTCCATGCTGCCCCATAGGCACACACGCAGTCGAGAGTGAACCAACCCACAGAACCGCTCTCAACCGCTCACCTGTGCCTCCACCGAGCCAGACAGACTATAGCCCGCCACTTGGAAGAGATCCGGGAGCTCCATGCTGCCCCATCCCAGGTCGACCTTGGGATTGCCGAGCAGCTTGATGGGCCACGTGGGGTGAGAGGCGGAGAGGGAGTATGTGCCTGGGGGCGGATGGGAGTTGGGAAGGGTAGAAGACGAAAGGGGAACGGGTGAGAGAACGTAGGAATGAGGTGCCATTTGCCCCAGCCCAGGTCGACCTTGGGATTGCCGAGCAGCTTGATGGGCCACGTGGGGTGAGAGGCGGAGAGGGAGTAGGTGCCTGGTGGGAGGGAGGGGAGAAGCGGGAGAAGAGGAAGTAGAAAGAGCAGGAAGAGGGTCGTTCGTACCAACAGGAGGAAGAGGTCTATTCATGAGGTCTATTCATGAGGTCTATTCATGAGGTCTATTCATGAGGTCTATTCATGAGGTCTATTCATGAGGTCTATTCATGAGGTCTATTCATGAGGTCTATTCATGAGGTCTATTCATGAGGTCTATTCATGAGGTCTATTCATGAGGTCTATTCATGAGGTCTATTCATGAGGTCTATTCATGAGGTCTATTCATGAGGTCTATTCATGAGGTCTATTCATGAGGTCTATTCATGAGGTCTATTCATGAGGTCTATTCATGAGGTCTATTCATGAGGTCTATTCATGAGGTCTATTCATGAGGTCTATTCATGAGGTCTATTCATGAGGTCTATTCATGAGGTCTATTCATGAGGTCTATTCATGAGGTCTATTCATGAGGTCTATTCATGAGGTCTATTCATGAGGTCTATTCATGAGGTCTATTCATGAGGTCTATTCATGAGGTCTATTCATGAGGTCTATTCATGAGGTCTATTCATGAGGTCTATTCATGAGGTCTATTCATGAGGTCTATTCATGAGGTCTATTCATGAGGTCTATTCATGAGGTCTATTCATGAGGTCTATTCATGAGGTCTATTCATGAGGTCTATTCATGAGGTCTATTCATGAGGTCTATTCATGAGGTCTATTCATGAGGTCTATTCATGAGGTCTATTCATGAGGTCTATTCATGAGGTCTATTCATGAGGTCTATTCATGAGGTCTATTCATGAGGTCTATTCATGAGGTCTATTCATGAGGTCTATTCATGAGGTCTATTCATGAGGTCTATTCATGAGGTCTATTCATGAGGTCTATTCATGAGGTCTATTCATGAGGTCTATTCATGAGGTCTATTCATGAGGTCTATTCATGAGGTCTATTCATGAGGTCTATTCATGAGGTCTATTCATGAGGTCTATTCATGAGGTCTATTCATGAGGTCTATTCATGAGGTCTATTCATGAGGTCTATTCATGAGGTCTATTCATGAGGTCTATTCATGAGGTCTATTCATGAGGTCTATTCATGAGGTCTATTCATGAGGTCTATTCATGAGGTCTATTCATGAGGTCTATTCATGAGGTCTATTCATGAGGTCTATTCATGAGGTCTATTCATGAGGTCTATTCATGAGGTCTATTCATGAGGTCTATTCATGAGGTCTATTCATGAGGTCTATTCATGAGGTCTATTCATGAGGTCTATTCATGAGGTCTATTCATGAGGTCTATTCATGAGGTCTATTCATGAGGTCTATTCATGAGGTCTATTCATGAGGTCTATTCATGAGGTCTATTCATGAGGTCTATTCATGAGGTCTATTCATGAGGTCTATTCATGAGGTCTATTCATGAGGTCTATTCATGAGGTCTATTCATGAGGTCTATTCATGAGGTCTATTCATGAGGTCTATTCATGAGGTCTATTCATGAGGTCTATTCATGAGGTCTATTCATGAGGTCTATTCATGAGGTCTATTCATGAGGTCTATTCATGAGGTCTATTCATGAGGTCTATTCATGAGGTCTATTCATGAGGTCTATTCATGAGGTCTATTCATGAGGTCTATTCATGAGGTCTATTCATGAGGTCTATTCATGAGGTCTATTCATGAGGTCTATTCATGAGGTCTATTCATGAGGTCTATTCATGAGGTCTATTCATGAGGTCTATTCATGAGGTCTATTCATGAGGTCTATTCATGAGGTCTATTCATGAGGTCTATTCATGAGGTCTATTCATGAGGTCTATTCATGAGGTCTATTCATGAGGTCTATTCATGAGGTCTATTCATGAGGTCTATTCATGAGGTCTATTCATGAGGTCTATTCATGAGGTCTATTCATGAGGTCTATTCATGAGGTCTATTCATGAGGTCTATTCATGAGGTCTATTCATGAGATCTATTCATGAGATCTATTCTATTCAACAATGCTCTTGAGGGGATGGGAAGAGTGGATCATACCAACAAGCAGGTCGGAGAAACGGAAAGCACCACGCCCATCCGTCACTGCAGTCGCAACCACCTCTGCCGCCCCCTTGCCCTCCCCGCCCTCACTACCAGCCCTCGTTACAGTCACAGTGATGCCCGCGGGTCCCTTGGCCTGGTCGGCACAGGAGGGGCTATCGGGCCCGAGCACCTTTCCAGCCAATCCGAAGCTGCCACATGGGATGGGAGAGGGATGAAGAAGATCGGGAATGAACGGCTGGAATTGCAGAAGGACGGTCACATTACAAGCACAGCACTCAATTGATTGTCACCCACCTTGCCATCCTTCCCCCTTCCCCCTTCCCCCTTCCCCCTTCCCCCTTCCCCCTTCCCCCTTCCCCCTTTCCCCTTCCTTACCCCTGATCACCCTCCTTCCCTCCTTATCCCCTTCCCTTAGCCTTATCCCCTCTACTCTCCCCCATTCCCTCCCTCACCCCTTGTGGTGGAAATTGACGTCCCTGTTGCCATTGCACGCCTCCCCAACAACCGTCACCGACACACTCTCCGGCTCAAAGGACCACCCAGGGGGTTGTTTTCCATGCCTGAAACACCAAGAGCTGAAGCTCCCCTTTCCCCTCCGTACCTCCGACCCCCACTTTCCCTCCTTTAATCTCTCACCCCTTGTGATGGAAATTGACGTCCCTGTTGCCATTGCACGCCTCCCCATCAACCGTCACCGACACGCTTTCCGGCTCAAAGGACCACCCAGGCGGCCCCCGCACTGCCAGCTCGAATGTTCCCTGTGATTATACCGAGGGGAGCATGGGGCACGGCACGGGGTGTGGGGCAAAGTGCAATGAGTGCTGAGTGAGCTAAATGAGAGCAGATTGGGCTAAATGTGCTGAGACACCCAATCTGCGCCTCAACTCAAACAACCACACAGATGCCCCCTGCATTGCCAGCCCAGTGTGAGTCCACAGGGCTCTCGCTTAAAGACGTGAGCCCCATGGGGCCAGTGGGCTCTGAAGGAAGGAAGCAAGACGCGCAGTCACCTTGGACATGTCACCTGAGTGTAGACTAGCAGGAAGTAAGTAGTAGCCGTGTTGGGCGCGCAGTGCGCTTGCTGCCTTGCCCCATCCTCACCCTCATGGGTACATCACCTCGGAAACAGCACATCACCCTTGGGCGTGAGCGGGACCCACCTGAGTGTAGACCGGCAGGAAGTAGTAACCATTGGGCGCGCAGTGCGCTTGCTCCTTCACCATGCCCTCCTGTGTGCGCAGCTCCACCTGCCAGCAAGGGAACGGCAGGGCCAAGGGGAGCGCGCAGCAGGAAGTGTGGTATGGTGAATGAGGGGCGGAGGGCTTGGACGGATGGGAGGAGGGGACATGGGACGGAATGAGAGTAGACATGCGTGTCCAACAACCACCATGGAGTGAAAAAGTGGATTCTTTAGTCGACTCAAAAAGGGCATGGACGGATTTGGGAGGGGACATGAGAACTAGTGAGAGTCGACATGCGTGTCCACCAACAACCATGGAGTGAAAAATTGAGATACGAAGCAAAAGACGTGGGGGGGGGGGGGGGGGGAACAACGACGACGATGCCTGCTGGCCTTTTTCTAAGCATACAACACCATAGCCCATCACACCACACAGAACCACGCCGCATCAGACCGAACCATAAAACACCGTTCCTTGCTACACTGTACCGCACATCACCGTACCACGAGGCGAGAATAATCAAGGGAGGCATCGGAGTCTGCACGCAGGGATGCGAGCTGCCTGCTGGCCTGGCGACGGTCAGAGGGGGGGCGGGGAGGGGAGAGAAGGAGGGGAGGAGAGGGGCGCGGGAAGAAAGGAATGTGACTTTGGGAGGCGCGGAAATGGGGAAGAAAGCGAGCGACATTTCAGTCGACTCAAGCGTCACAGCGATGTGCGCGACGTGGGGAGACGCGGCGCGAGGTCCTCGCATGCATATCATACGGTACAAACCTTCCCGTGCCGAAAAGACTTCGCTAAACATGCAACGCAGCATAAGATTTGATCGGACCCGCAAAGTGCGTGATCTATCGCATTGGATCCTGATCCCCTTTGTCACCTAGTGAGAAATGGCAATCCACTTACTACGCGCATTACAAACCGTGGCGCATATTACTCATGTACGAGCATATTATCAGCCTAAATGTTTTTTGAAAACGTCTTACAAAACTGACACGTCACTGACGAGCGAATCATGAGCCTACCTGGACGAATCCCCCGCATCCAATCACGTCCGCTGCCACGCCACTCCCTCCCAAATGCCACGTCAGCACGATGCTGACGACGGCAAAGCGGATCCACGCCGACCAGATCCGTTCCGTAACTGCATCGCGCGACGCGGGACGCATCGCTCGTCGTTCGTTAAACGCGACTTTCGAACCGGGTATCGCGCGCGCGACTGCGCTTTAACGTTAGCCTGAGTGCTGGATACGGCGCGGATCCCGGAGGCTCTGATAATGCCTTCGCCGGAAGGCGCGAAGCGCTTAGGAAAAGCAAGCCTGTCAGGATCTCGGATCGGATCAGTATCTGGTAAGAACAAAAACTTGGGGAGAAAGAGGGCACTGGAAGAGATTCAGCAATGACTTTGTGAAGCTGTACGCTTTAGTGGCAGCAAACAAGGGGAATAATATGCTCACCAAGATAGTCTGCAAATTCTTCAGCACCTGCACTTAACTAGATGTTATCGACTGTATGCTAAAAGGCGCCATTGAAATAAAACAATGAATTTCTATGTAAATATTTTTATTCTATGCCAATTTTTTTAGTAAACACAATATGCGGAGTTCGTATGTGGAAAATTCAAAACTTAAAAGCTATGACTGATTTATTCAGAGTCAACCTAGAAATCGTTCCTCGTACAACGTGTAAAATGTAAGGAATTCTAATTCCTTAGTGTACCCGTGTTTTAGAGAGTACAGCCAGAGGAGCGCGCGTCAGTTCGGTTCTGCCTATTTCGTCGCCCCAAACCACTCTCGAGTCGCCCCCGCTCAGGCCCTCAAATATCAGGGAAAAAACCATGAAATTCCTGATTTTCCGGGTAATTTTTTTTACCTACGCTAATTTTTCAGTCTTCAGATTTTAGAGAGACTGGTTTTTCAGCCTTTTTTCTCTAAGGGAACTGATTCTTCAGCCTTTTATCGAAGTGTATGTTACGATCAAAGATTGATCGACCCTAGGATCACCTCAGGAAGGTTCGCACACGTATAGGTAGCAGTGGTGGGCCCTTGACCTCAATAGCAGAGTGAATGTAAAATGCTTGAGATGAAAGTAAAACATGCAAATACAGAAGTATAAATAAGATTATAGGGGAATTCGAATCGACCTAGCTAGCCATGTACTATAAGGGGTACATTCCCTTATTCGAATTCAAACCAACCGTGCGACTCGAACAGTTACAAAACTGTTCCCGCTGTCAAACACTATACATGTGTTATTGCTGTGTAGGCTACAGTGGGTTAGCCTTTAGGGGGTACACAATTCTAGGGTTTCATACTTGTACTCCAATGTCCTCATAGTTCAATCACTTCTCTCATTCTGACATGGTATTACGAGCCTAGGTTAGGAACCTAGGACCGATCGTTTCTACGGGCCCACCGTTCCGCTAGTAGCGCCCTCGTGCGCCTTCCCCTCCTTGCGCCCTCGTGCGCCTCGCTCCTAGGGCGCCCCCGAGCGCCCCACTTTTTGGCCGCGTCGCCCGCTAGCCGCCCGCGCGCGGCCCGTTTTTTGCCCGCGCAGCCCGCTAGCCGCCCCGCGCGCGGCCCGTTTCTAGTGCGCGCGACCCAGTAGCCGCCCGCGCCGTCGCCGCCGCCCACGAGCAGCCTGCTAGCCGCCCGTCGAACGGCCCTGCTGGCCGTCCAGCGCGCCGCAGCCCCGCCCGTAGGCCGTCGCGTCGCTGCTGTAGGCCGTAGCCCGCGCGCGACTGCAGCCCACGCACAGCCGCCGCCTACGCATAGGCCCGCCGTCACGTCGCCCTGCCCGTCCGAGCCGCGCCGCGTAGCACAGTCCGAGCCGCGCCGCCTGACCGAGCCGCGCCGCCCTGACCGAGCCGCGCCGCCCTGCTGTGCCCCACCTGCAGCACCTGTTGTTCCTATTACTGCTACTGCTACTACTGCTACTGCTGCTACTGTTCCTACTACTGCTACTGCTACTATGGCCAGTCCTACTGTACTCACCTTTGACGCTGAGGGCCGTCCGATTAAGTTCGATGTTTGGCTCGATGACCTTCACCTCTACCTTCAGATCACCGCCAAGGACGATATTTCCCTTTATGACCACACGTCCGGCGCCGCTCCCGCACCTGCTGCTGATGCTGATAGCACTTTGCGCTCACAGTGGCAGACCCGTGACGCTCATGCTCGCCTAGCCGTTCGCAGCCACCTGCCGTTAGATGAGCGCGAGCACTTTGGCCAGCATAAGACCGCTAAAGAGCTGTACGACGCAGTAGTCGCGCGCTACTCCTCCCCTGCCACTGCTGCTATAGGCCGTCTCTCACTACCCTATCTCATTCTGACACCCGCCAATTCCCTTGAACCTGCAGCTGCCTGATGCCGTCTGCTCCGATGGTCCAGATCCTTTCTAACCGTCTGCGTCGCTTTGGGTTGACTTCTGACTCCTCGCCAGGGCTCTCGTTATCATACTAAATTGGTCTGATGGTCTGATTTTCAGACCTTGATTTTCGCTTTCATCTGATTTCCAAGACAATGCTTTTTTGTTTCGTCTGATCCATAAGACAATGGATTATAGTTCATCTGATTTTCCAGAGCGTGGGTTATACTTCATATGAAATTTCAGATAGCGAGTTCCATTTCATCTGACACTGACATTTGTCCACATGGCCTCAGACTGTCGGTTCCTGCACCTTGGTGGGTGGCTGTATCTGCACGTGTAATACCGTAATTCGCCTCGCCTCACTGACTGAGCCCGCCTCGCTTCTACCAGCCCAACCAAGTTCCCCTCGCGTCTACCAGCCCAACCCAAACCAAAGTCCCCCTGGCCTCGCTTCTACCAACCCAGACCCGCCAAGCTCCCTTGGCTTGACGCAGGTTTCGTGGTTCGATGGCAAGTGGCGCCTTAGAGGTTGCGGTGTGCAGCCCAAGCAGCTGCAGCCCAGAGACGGTGCTGTCGTGGCGATGCTGCGGGAGGACTTCCTGTACGTCGTCGTCATCGCTCTCTGGCTCAGGTGCTGGTGGAGCTGCGCCTCTGCCGCTTCCGCCTGTTCCACCCATTCTTCCTCCAGAGGAATCGTCGTCGTCGTCGTCATCGCTGCTGTGGCGATCTCCCCTTGTGAACTCGCCCCTGGTGTCCTGTTCCAGGATTGCTGCAGCGGCTTCGTCCTCGGGCGATGCGTAGCAGTGCCCGTCGTTCGCATAGACGCGGTTCGCATTTGTTTGCTCGTTCTGGCGGAACTGCTCGAGGAAGAGGCGTTCGTAAAAGATGACGTCGCGGGCATGGGTGGTCTTCTGGCTGAGCAGGTCCAGCACGATCCATGCCTTGTGCTCGTGGCTGATGCCGAGGTGAATGCCCCATCGCGAGCGGCTCGCGAATTTGCCGATGGTTGACGTCGGCGGGCGGTATTGCACCATGCACCCCCACACGCGGAGCATGGATGTGTTCCTCTTAGTCCCGGTCCTCTTTACGTGCGGGGACAAGTTTCCGGTGATGGCGGTGGTTGATAGCAGGTTGTGCACCCGCACGGCGTGGTGCATCGCGTAGGTCCAGTAGATCGGCGGCACCTTCGACTGCTTCATCAGCGCCCGCACCTTCGTCATCAGCGTGCGGTTCGTCCGCTCAGCTACGCCCTGCTGCTGGTGCGCGTAGGGGAGAGAAATATGGTGCTCGATCCCTTTTTGCGCCAGGTAATCCTGCATATCCTTGCTCCTGAATTCCGCTGCGCCATCAGATTGCCATATTTTCAGCTTCTCTCCGGACTGCCGCTGCGCGTGCGCCAGCCAGAGGCGAAATACCTCGTAAGCTCTGCTGCGCGATTCCACGTTCACAACCCACACATAGCGCGTTCCGGCATCAACGAAGGTGAGCGTGTACATTTCGTCGTTGACTCCGCAGTGCCCCACGTTCAGGAAGTCACTATATACCTTGTGCAGCTTGGGGTAGCGATTTGTTACGGGTTCGAGTAGCGGGAACGGTTGGTGGCTCAGCGCAGCTTCGGGGCAGACGGTGCAGTTGCGCGGATGTGTCGCGCCTCTCACTTCGGAGCCATCTGGGCACAGGAGCGCTCCAGGAGCAAAGACGTCTGCGTCGATGCAGTTTTTCAGTGTCGCGCGGGAAGGGTGGCCGAGGCGCTGGTGCCAGAGCGCATCGTCGGCGCGGAACCCGGAGGTGCGCATGTAGCGCGCACGAGCTTCTTCGAGGTCTTCGTCAGGTACTTGGGCAGGTACTGGTGCTGCTTCTTCTGCTGCGCCATCTTCGTCGGTGCCAGTGGTGAGCATGAGCGCCAAGAACTCTCTGTCGCGGATTTCGAAGAGGGGAATGTTGGTCCCGGGGATAGTTCCGGGGACGAAGGTGGGTTCGTGTGGTTCGGGAGCAGATCCGTTGACGGTGCGTCGCGGGGTCGTCGGCTCGTTGCCCCAGGCGATGGTGTCCAAGGGGTCGCGATGCGGCGGGATGTCAGGAGGAGGTAATGCGGGTGGAGCATGGCGCGGGGGACGACCAAGGGGAACAACTGCAGGCGTTGCCCGAGCTTCTTCTTCTCCCCCCTTTTGTTCCTCGCGGGAAGCCTCCCAGCCTCCGGCAGAAGTGCCCCAGCCGCTAGTTGCGCCGCCAGATGCGGCGCCCCATCCGCCGGTTGCGGTTGTCCAGGTTCCCCGGGTGTTATTCCATCCACTGGTGTCAGCCGTTCCCCATCCGCCAGTGCTGCCCCATCCCCCTTCATTGGAGGCGCTTTCTTCCGCTTCAGCTCCCCATGCGCCGCAGGCGAATGTCCCGCGCGCCTCGGCAAGGCTTTGACGGCGAAGCTCCTCAGCTTTGCGGCATGCCAGTTCTTCTTCATGTTGCACGGTGAGGTTCTTGGTGGGATCGCGCCAGTGGGGGTAAACTGTCAGGAATTCTTCGAGAGTGTAAGGGCTCGCAACTCCGCGCGCATCAAGGGTGCCGATACCAATGCCACGCAGCATGCCTTGGAGATGCTGCGAGGGGGGTCCGACTAGAGGGTGTTCTGGTGTGCCGAACACGCCGCGCGTGGTGATTTCGAGTTCAAGCTGCGACATCCCTTCTTCTGGTGGTGCATGTCGCTCAGTTTCGGCGATGGCGGCAAGCCCACGACCGGCAAGCACGCTGGTTGACGCGGTAGGTGTGTGACAGTCTCTGCAGATGCCACTTGGGTCGGGGTCGT